CTTCAACAGTCCCATCGACCGCCAGGACGAGTTCCGACTGTGGGAACAGTATGGTTGGAAAGAAGTTCAACTACATGCCCTTTCCTGCTGGCAACGGCCCGTTGCCAAGACATGCAAGCAGGCCACAGTGGTTGACATGATCTGGATGTCGCCAGAAGCTGCTATGTTGTGCCATCATGTTGGGGTTCACGAAGTCTTTGCAGACCATGTCACTTTGTTTGCTGACTTTTTGGTACCTGACGGGGCCGCTACTATCCGTACGTGGCCAAAGCCGACTTCCATTCCATGGGAACAGATAGATGTTGAGCGATGGCGTCAGAAACTGGTTTCTTCGACCTTACCAGTTCATGACACGCAAACTTCTACAGAGTTCTTTACCAGTTGGGCTCAACATTGGGAGGGCGCTTTGGATGGTTGTGTCAAGACACATCCTGAAGGTCGTTTGATGCCGAACTTTCGGGGCAGAGCAGTTCGCACTGAACCCCTTGAAGGTCCCATAGCAGCACCAGTGGCTAAGCCATCACGACATGGTGAAGTTCAATTGAGATCCGACTTGATCTCTGCATCAGTGCAGCTTTGGTTCAAGCAACTACGACGTCTGCAGAGCTACAAGCATGCCGCCTTGGCCAACAAGTTGACTTTGGAGGCAGAGGTTTATCGTTTGAACCTTTGGACTGCTATCAAGCGTGGGCGTGGCTTCGAGGGGCTTTTTGCTGATTGGTGGCCGACCCGGAGGCACAAACTGCCTTCAGCTCCTGAAGTGCTGCCCTTGGTGCCACCTGATGGCCAATTGGCGGAGCTGATCTTTTTGGACTTCAAGATCAACTTCGCCGCCTATGAGAGATGGAATCTTCGGCAGCGGAAACAACTACTGCAGCAAAAGTATGATGCCAGTTGTCAAAAACTCTTCAAGGAGCTCCGTCCACCGCAGCGTGAACAACTCGATTTGCTTTGGCACACTGGAGATCTAACGGTTTTGGCCGTAGATTATGATGGGCTGCAGCTTCATGTTGACCAACCAGTCTCTGGACTTCTCGGCTGTGTTTGGTACATCAACAACACCCAACTTGATGTTTGTTCCGCTGATGGCGATGTTCTGGTGGTTCAATGTCTACCTGATGGAATTGAACCAGGTGACCTTCTTCAATGTCATCGATACTACTCCACCGTGGAGCAGATCCACAGTGCCATGCTTGATTTATGGCGACCCAGGTGGCAACAAGCTAGTGTAGTGGGCACAGACCAGTGGGAGCGCATCATTGGCTTCATCAAAGCCTACATGCCACAACTTTCATTTGCAAGTGAGGGCGACCCACTATCAAGATGGAAGACAGCTTTGGGACACTTTCCCAAACGTCCGGCACGCGGGGTGGATGGGATCGACGTTGAGGATCTCAAACATCTACCTGATGGGGTCACCTCCAGCCTTTTGGACTTTTTGGGCAGCATCGATGGTCGACAACGGCAATGGCCAGACCAGCTTCTTTTTGGGACTGTCATCAGCTTAGGCAAGCAAGACCAGCCACACCTTCCCAACCACTATCGTCCCGTGGTGATTTTGGGTACCGTATACCGAGCTTGGTCCAGAATGAATGCTTTGCCGTTGCTACAAGTGCTAGGCAATGTAGTCCCAGCCGCGGCTCATGGGTTTTTGCCCGGCAGGGAATGTGCACAGATCTGGCTCCAATTGCAGTGCTTCATCGAGGTGTGCCTGCAACAAGGCATTGAGCTTTCTGGCTTTAGTACAGACATTGAGAAATGTTTCAACAATGTTGGCCGCGACTCATTGATGGCTTTGGCGTCTCATGTGGGTTTTTCACCTCAATTGCTTCAGCCCTGGAGATCATTTCTGGACACTTTTCTGCGCTCATTTCAAGTGAGGACGGCATTGAGTGAAGCGGTCTTGAGCTCTCAGGGGCTCCCAGAGGGCTGCTCCATGTCCGTGGTGGGGATGGTTCTCATAGACTGGGCATTTCACGTGTACCACAGCGCATTGGCGCCTTCGGTTCATGCTTTTTCCTATGTGGATAACGTTTCAGAAGCTGGACACAAGGTTATGGATGTGGTTTCCGCTTTCTTTTCGACCATGTGTTTCTTTCAGCTTTGGGGCCTAGCATTGGATCATGGCAAAACATACTTTTGGAGCACGTCAGTGGAATCGCGCTCCTTGCTGCGCTTGTTGGGGCTTACTTTGAAAAGTGACGCTTTGGAACTTGGCGGAAGTATGACGTTTGAGGCCTCCAGGCGCAATAGAAACTTGAAGGCACGAGGAGACAAGCTGCAGCCCAAGTGGGAACGATTGCGGCGCAGCCTTTGTCCTCTCGCGCAGAAGTTCATGGTTCTTCCTTCGGCTTTTTGGTCTTCAGCACTACATGGGGCCCCGGCTTGCCCAGTTGCAGATGGATACCTGCATCAACTTAGGCAGGCCGCCAATAGAGCACTGCGATGCAAGCAGGCTGGCTCCAATGCTTTACTGCGTTTTTCTATGAGTGACAACATGGAAGCTGATCCTGGCTTTTATCACATCACTTCAGTGATCCAGACCTTCCGCAGAGTATGTGGGCGTTCTCCGCGGGTGATGGATTGCTGGCAGCTTTGGATGGACTTCTATGATGGACAGGTTACTCATGGTCCGTGCGAAGTGCTTTTGGACGCCTTGAACAAGATCGGTTGGAGCATCAGTCAACCTCCTTTGGTGATGGACCCAACAGGCTTGACGTTTGACCTTTTACTCACACCATGGCCTCTGCTCCGTCAACTTTTGGAGGATGCCTGGTTGCGGTATGTTGCTTCAACTTTGACTCGGCCTACGATGGCTGCTCTGGACGGCATTGACGTCTACGTGAGCAAGTGGCGCAACAACTCGCTGACTGCTTTGGAACGCTCCTTGCAATCGGCATTGCAAAGCGGGACCTTTCTGGATGAATGGACTCACAGCAAATTTGATGTGACAAAAAATCAGCTTTGTGCTATTTGTAATAGTCCCCAAAATCATAGCCACTTGTTTACGTGCCCCAAATTTGCGGATTTACGGGAACAGTTTTCTTTGACCGAAGAGCTGGAGCAAGTGCCGACGGCTATGAAGCACCATTTGCTCTGCCCACGTTCCCCATGGCTTGATGCTCTGCGGTCACATTTTTACTACTTGCCGGACACCACTGGCGACTTCATCACGGAGCCAACAGATGACAGCCTTCAGCACCTCTTCACTGACGGGAGTCTCACACACGAGGGGCGAGGAGAAACCAAACGGGCGGCTTGGGGGCTTTACAACTCCAACACAGCCTTGCCCATAGCTTCTGGATGGTTGGCGGGATTACCACAAACAATTGTGCGTGCTGAACTTAGTGCTGTCATTGCTGCTTTGAAATGGGTTCTTTGGTGGCAAGTGCCAGCCCATATTTGGCTGGATGCGCTCGAAGTCCACCGTGGATTGCAAAAGCGACTTGCTGGATATGTTTCGCGGTTTTCAGACAGGAATGCGGATCTGTGGTTGAAAGTGGAAGAGCTCCTGAGACAGGGGGCCAGCTGCTTGGTGGACTCGACATGGATTCCATCACACCTGGATGTTTACAGCTGTGAGACCCCATTTGAGGAATGGATAGCAGTGAACAATGGTCATGCAGATGCTCTGGCGGTACGGCGCAATGCCGACAGACCGGCGATCCTTCAGGAGTTGCTAGCATTCCAGAAAGCTTGGGACTCACGTCATATCGGACTTCTGCAGAAGTTGCGGGCATACTACTTCGCCATCTTTGAGCGCACGAAAGGCAACAAAGATCCCAAACTTCATGTGGCCGTTGACTCTAGTGATGATGAGGAGCCTAGTGTGATGTATAGTTTTATGGATAGTCTGGCGGTAGATGTTGATCCCAATCATTTTGTACAAACCCTGGGATTTCCATTTTCCTTTCTGCAGTTGGTGATCAATTGGCTCCGATCTCATGAGGATGATAATCAGAGGTGTGTTGGTGTGAGTTTTTTGGAGATCACGTTTGGTTTGCTTTTTGTTGACCCGGTCCAATTCCCATTTCGGAACCCCATGGATGGGATTTGGCGATTATCTGATCGGAGATCACAGTTTGAGCGCCCCACTTTAGCCTATTTTTACGGCATAGTGCGGAAGGTTTTTAGGTATTTGAGTTTTCATTGGTGTGATTTTTCCCCAGTTTGCACGGGACTCAACCGATCCCCATGGGGCGTCACTACACCATTGGATGGGGTTCCTTTGAAACTCCATTGCGAAGTGCTGGCCGCTGTACAAACTTCTTTGGCTTCGTTCACCAAAGTCAGACCTATAAGGCGGTCCTGTGACTTGGCCAGGCCGGTAGCTTAGAGACCAGAGACTGACCTGCTCGGCACTGCAGCTGCGCCGTGCCAGTGGGTCATTGCAAGCAGTCCGAGCTAAGGGAGCCAAGGAGGCACTAAGAGTTTCCCAACCATATGATAGTTAGATAAGCGGTGTTCAAACCCCTTGTTGGTTAAATATTATGGTTATTTAACATAGCCATGGAAAATGGCCTATTTATAGATGGTCTACCTACTAAAAATTGTGATTTTCCATGGCTATGTTAAATAACCAGATGGTAAAGATTATGAATATGGGATTTTGCTACCTTTTATGCGTTGGGAATATCATGCTGGGAATCCTGCTCTCAACGTCGCAGGTTTTGAACACTGCTATACTTCTCCCAGTGGTGATATGCAAATACCATCAAATACCAATAGGAAGTACAACACATTTTTTTTTACAAGTATGAAGTATGAAGAGTAATTCATCATATACATATATATATATATATAGTTGTATACCCATTCTATAGCCATATTAAGCACATATATCCATATCAACCGAGCTTACACTGAATTATATATATATATATTATTTATACAATATATATATATATAATATATTTATATATATTAACAATAAAACGTTATCATTATGAATAACCAGCCATTAACTCAAAAGTTCCTTTCCGCCCTGGCTGTCGCATCAGGAGAACGCCCCCGAAACCGTCGCGGAGATGCTGACGAAGTTCCAGGTGCCTGCCGAGGAGAGCTCCCTGAAGCAGTGGGAATGGGAGGTGGTTTTGAAACGACGTACCATCAAATGGTGATTGAAGCATCAAAAATTTGGGAACCATGAAACATGTGGATTATTATATCACCAAGAGAAATCTATGAAACATGTGGGTTAAAAAAGAAACGAGAACAATGGTGATTTAAGCGACTAAAAAGATGGATATCGTGACAAATACTTACTAGTGACCTCAATGCGGAATCGCTGAATTGACGGTTGGGATTGGGAACACTATCCCAAAATAGCGTTGTTTCTGGTCTGGTTGCAACTATTGTAATTTATCCGGTCGATATTGAACCTGAAAGATGGGTTTGGGAAGATGATGTTACTCCTCAATATTGCCATGTTTGGATTCCATGTCAAATTTTGAGGTATGTAAGCATTGAAAGTGTGGTTTCCAACAAAACTTGGAATTGATTGGAATTGAATCATCCAACATAGGCAAACACTGGGAGCAGACAAGAGTTATGTACAGTAACAGTAATAGCTTATTAAATAAATATTGGCATGTTATACTGTTATACCCAACTGAGACTACACATTCGTTTGCGACCTGATGCAGGCTATTTGAAATCAATCATGGAAGTTGTGGTGATTGTAATGGGAAATAATCCACTTTGGTCCTTTGGATTATTTTGGGTGTTTCAAAGAAGAGCTTTTTGGTAGACCACAAACTTTTTGCAGCCAGATATTGGGTGGTTCCCTTGACGGAATGCACCCAGAGAAATGGATATGTCCAGTAGCTGCTGTAAGGCATATATTATGAATTGTGTTGCTTTCATTTTCTTGATATTCTGATGCGGATTGACTTTCATATTTTGAGGGTGGGTGGCTCAGGAACAAGTAGGGGATTTGCTTCCCTTCCCAGCCAGCCATCTGTGAGTGTTCATCAACAGTTAGGAAAGACAAAAACAGGAAAGATAGATGGAAATAGCATAAATAGCCGATCGAACAAACCGACAAGCAGTACTCAAGAATCATAGCAGATGACGATTTGGCCCAGGAAGGCGAAGAAAAATCACCTGGATACGGTGAAATTAGCCCATCCCTTGCATTATCAAAAACGAGAACTCTTGATGTGGCAGGTGCAACAATTGACAGAATTTGCAAGCTTATTACTTTCAGCCATGGTAAAAGGGTCAAAATGTTGGATTTGTTGCTGGGCTTATTGCATTAGTCATTCTTGATAAAGTACAACGACCTTTGTGCAACGTCACTGGACTTGATGGTTAGGACTGTGGAAATTATCCAAGAAATGACTAAATAATCTCAGGCTGGTTAATCATGCTTTCTTGTCGAATTCAATTTAGTTATCCAGGTGTGTGTATGCCAGCTTGTCAAAAAGCCCCGTGGTACCCCTACATTTTGCCCCTCTGATCCGGACATAAATGATTGGAGCCCATGGCCAATAACCAATTATCCCCAGCAAAACAGGTTGCCCCCTAAGAGTAATATCACACCATATCCCAGGATTTTCCTGATTATATGGGGGCCCATTTCCCACGTCCAAACATCAGATTGTTGATTATGTATCCAGGTATCCAACTATAAATCCCCTTAGCAGCGCATAGTTATTGGTTTTATCCCCATTCTTACTGGTTCAGAGTCCAGTGGATGTTGATTATATATCCTATGAAATCCCATTAAGTCCTCTTTAAACCCACAAAAAAAAACAATGATAAACCAATACCCCATTGATATCCCAGTGTAAATCCCATTGAAATCCTTGGTCCGAAATAAAAATATGCCGTTAATCTTCCTATTGTGGTTGGTTAATATCTCTATTGTGGGTATTTATCTCCATTTGTGTGGTTGCGCCCTAGGATGGTTGGTTATTATTGCCAGTAAATCACATGTATATTTAACCAACTATTGGGCCCTAATTATTGGAGTATTATACCCTATCAACCATTGGACCCGAATACCATTGCTATTAATTTATAAGTATCTATATATATATATAACACATATATATATATATAACATATATTGTCAGATTGACACTGGTAGCTTGTTCACTTCCAATCCTAATCCCAGTTGGAACCCTGTCCAGCAATGCAAACTCCTGTTTTGCCCAATGCGAAGCCACGACCTGCAATCAGTCCAACGCACCCACAGCTGGCCACAGCTGTATCCGCTAAGCGTCACTGATAGCGCTATTGCTCAAGCTAATCCCTCCCTCCAGCCCAGAGGCTGCGGCAACAACTGGTTTCTGGAAGAACCCCCTGGTTCCATGAGGGAATGACCTCAAGCACATGTGAACTGGCCTGGCTTTCACATTCGTACTATCAAAATTTTGTTCATCATGTGCACATTCCAGATACGCTTCGGTGATCAGGATGGTGAAGACAATCACGGACATGATGTTGGAAAAATACCCAGTTGATTACGCATTGAAGACAATGTCAACCTCATCACTGGTAGTTGTCTCCTGTGAGGCAGAGACCATGCTTGCATCATCGAAAGATCTAATTGGGTTTTCAGAACTTCAATCGGATAGCGCATGGACGGCTTGGCTTTTCCACAAACTACCGATGCTCTGAACTTTCGGGATTGAGAGCTTGAAGCCATTTGATTCTGGTTCTTGCATCTGATCTAGCCTTGAGTATTTCATGCTCGTCATGCAAACTGTAGTGACCTTGCTGTAAGCATGTCCTAAGCATGGTATTGTCCATGACTTTTGTCAACGCATCAGCTACTTGAGCGGCTGATGGAACCCATCGGATCTGAATGCCATTTTGGATATGTTCTCGAATCAGCTTGGCTTGAAGTTGAGTACGAAATTCAGTGCAAGTTGGGGGAGCATTACGGTTGATTAAGTCAAAGAGTGATTTACAATCAGTGGTAATGAAATCAGAACGTTCCTTGGGAATATCATTGAGGATTCTTTTGGCAACTTCAGGCATCGGCTGTTTCTCAGGCAGTTCTGGTGTCAACGCTGAAAATGCTGGTGGAAGTCGGAGGAGAGTGCTATCAGCTTGTCTCCAATCACAGCGATGATCACATATCCATGCCCAGAAAAGGCGCACCCAAGAAAGCATATCCACTGCTCCTGCCAGAGCCATTGCTTCGGCAGACAACGTGCTGACTGCTACCTTCTGGATTTTCTTAGAATGCCATACCATTGGATTGATTGGACTGCGTCTATTTTCACCAATGCACTTGTGAGCAGACATGATCATCATTCCCTGATGTGAGTCAGGGCATTTCTCTGACGCAAAGGAGGCATCGGAAAAAGCAACAAACCGCAAATCAGGAACTGGTATGGATTGTATTCGAAGGGCCACATTGGAATGTTGTTTTGCTTCATGGAGGGTTCGATTTGCTTCAACCAATGTGGACACTTTTGCTTTGTTGATTTGGCTTTGAAGCCAACCCAGTCGGCTGCATATGTCAGGTCTCGTGTTTACAGCTGCATACTGTAGGCTCCCTATCAGAGCTCGCAACGCTTGTCGTTCCTCTTCTGTGACGACACTGTCTGGTTGACACCTTCGATCATGAGAGATGGAAATTGCATGAATATCCCGAACATACTGTGACTGGTTCACTGTGATAGTGTAATCAGCTTCTTGCGTGACATGTAAACCAGTGAACACAAATTTGTGCATCTTACGGGATCCAAAAGGAAACTTGGCTTCCAGTTGTTTGAGCTTGCTCTGAAAAGTTTCATTCCCACAACACAACCCATCATCAACATGAACACCAATCAGACCTTGTGTCTCCTGGGTTTTGGGGTCACTCAGATGGAACAGGCACGGATCAAACGGTGATGCTTGGAATCCCAGCTCCTCTAGGGTCTTCTTCAGTTCAACAAACCAGAGATATGGTGCGTCAACACGCCCATAGGCACCTTTGAGAAGTTGCACCACTTCATCTTGACGGAGCTTGAGTTTCTGTCGCATCTCTTCTGGTGGTTCCATGCCTAAAACGCGATTGCTCTGCTCGCTGCCTCGTAAAAATGCAGTCTGTACATCGAAGCTTTGGATATCCCATTTTCGGCTGGCACAGTACTGAAGGAGAAGCATCCGGGTCAGTTTATTCATTGTCGGACTATCACGGGGAATTTCTGATACTTCAGGATCTTCAAAACCAAGCACAACTAGTCTAGCCTTCGGTTTCATTTTCTGGGATTGTTGGGGTTGATCAGCTGTGGGATCAACTTCTTTCCAAGTTAAAATCCATCGGCTTCGGAGAATGTTGGCTTTTGGGATCTGATTACGCATGATTTTTGTGATAGTCTCGGTACTGATCCAGCTTTCCACTTCTTTCATCTTGGCCTGCCGGAAACGCTCGCGATCTTCAGCTGTGAGATCTGACAATTTCACCTCACTGCGCTGTCGTTTTGCTGCTGAAACAAGGAAAGCCATTTCCTGTGGTTTTGTTTCCTCACGCCAGCGGGTGATGTCTTGAGCACAAATGGGAATCTCTAATTTCCAGCATTGATCATTATCAACTTGGAAAACATGATCGGCTTCCACAAAGAGTTCATCATCCGTATCTGGAATTGGCACTTCCACTGGATTGGGTGGCTGTTCAACATTTTCGGAGGGATCCTGGTTGTTGGGAACTGGTTCACCATCAGGTTGTTCAGAGTTACTGTCACTTATTGGGATTACTGAAACGTTAGGGTTATCTTCATTGGGGATTATTGGAATCTGATTCACATCTTGATTATTGGCAGTGTTAGTTGAACTTGGTGCCTCAGTGGGAATTAAATTGTGATATTGTACTCCGCCATGTGGTGGGATAATGCTTTGATTTGGTGACGTGGAACGTGGAGAATCACCTGATTGATTTTCATTGATTGTGGATCGGTGTTGCCACTCCTCAACTGCTGACAGCGGTCGGAGGTGTTCCGGAGCTACGCGATACAGCTTGCTGCCCATGGTGATCCACACAACATGTGAACTTTCTTGCAACACAACTCGAAGGGGACCTATCCAAGAGCCATCAGCTTCACCACGTTTTCGCCACATCATGACATGATCTCCCTGGACATACTTGCCCCGATTGGGTCTACTCCTTTGGACCAGGGCTCTTCTTAGGACCTGACAATTGTCAGTGGCAGTGAAGGCGCGACGCGCGCGTTCTCGCAGGGCCAGTTCCTCTCTAAATCGGAGACCTTCAGGACGATCATCAATGGCTAAACTGTGGGAAGGCAACTGCATATCTGAAACTACTGAACCGGCTACCCTACTTGACTTTCCAAACACAAGGACTTCTGGTGGATAACCCCTGTGACGGCTCCATTGATTTTTGGTTGCAGTGGCCAAAGCGGTTGCTTGGCTTACTTTTTCAAAGGAATCAAGTGGTTCTTCGGTGTCCATTTTGTTCAAAATGCTTTGCAGTACAGCTCCATGTCTCTCAATCCTGGAATTTTGCCAGTGTGCTTCTGTGGCAATGGTTCGATGTTTGATTGAGTACCGTTGCAAAAATGTGATGAAGTCATTGGAGTTCAGTTCTGTCCCTGCATCCATGCATAGTAGACCTGGAGGTCCGGCCCATTGAATCCACCCCTGGTGAAGCGCATGTATGGCCTGTTCAGCATCATGTGCACGAGTAACGACGGCAGTGTGATACAAGGTACTTTGATCCAACATGTGATAGATGTTATACTGTTGCCCCATCTTATTAGTCCATGTGATACCATCAATTGCAACAACATCTCCAAAATCCCCATGGTCATGTATGGAACTTGGACGAGCTATCTTGGGATCTTGATTCTCAGCACATGTTGAACATTTCAGGTCTCCGATGGCTTGGAGAATTTCACTGGGGCATCCCAGTTGTCGACAGAACTCTGTCAATTTCATAGCTCCCGGGGGTGGCCCAGGTTTCGGTGAACTTTGAGAAGCCATGCCTGAGTTTCTGGCTTCAACATCATGAAACGTGGTCCATGTTTCTGAGAGGCTAGGTCAATGACATGACGATCTATTGATTCGGTCTTTTCTGGTTCGGAAACTCTTTGGGCCACATCCATTGGCTCATGAGTGCGCGGTCGCTTTGGTTCTGGTTCTGATCCTTCGAACTCAGCAGAGCGAACAGCACGGACGTCGGCAGAAGATTGAGACTGCACTGGAACATGTTCGGAAACAGGTATCTCTTGGCCTACAACTGTCTTGGCTTTGGCAAATATGGTCAGACTGACTCTGGCTGGCGTTCCCTTTCGACGCAAGCCTTTAAATGTCAGTTTCTCCCAGGGCTCCCATTCATCATCAACAACCACATCTTCATGCTTGCGACGGATGCAGATGCGTTTTCTTAGAGGAGCACTACCTGGTGGAACATTTCTGGTAGGGCCAGGATATCGGTCTGTGCCACGACAAAGGACCACATGTTTAATCTCATGTTCAGGACATAACATGGAAATCTCATGAATGATTTCTCCAGTGTCAATCACCAGTGGTCCAACACGTGGGGCCATTACATTGGCACGTCTCATCACTGTCTGCCAGCTGGCGTCAGCAAATCGCTGTGCAATGGCTTGTGGACTCAATTTTGACATGAGGCGTCTCTTCTTGGTTGGGTGTTCATTGTTATTTTCCTGAGAAGGTGGGTCATCCATTGCAAACACAGGCTTTTCCTTTGGAACTTCATAAAGCAAGATCTTGACTACCTGTCGAGCAAATTTGGCTGGATACTTCTCAGTAAAAGTGGACAATGACATACGCTTTCCCTCATGTTTAATATCGGGATTGCACAGCTTTCCATGGATGGCTCGGGCCAACGGATCTGACGTTGTTGCTACGTTCAAACGCTTTCGGATGGGCATGGCTGATTCTGGATCGGTCAAGTTGCCCATGCGGCAGAGGTCAAAGCGGCAAAGCCTTGTGTGTTCACCAATTTCACTTAGTGGTTGGAGCAGCAACATCTTGGAACCATCCGGCTGTTCTAAGTGAAAATGCAGTGATCTCTGCACCTGAAATCGATACAGAACAATGGCTAAGCTGATCTGCCAGAGGCTTGCAAGACGTTTCTGAAGAATGTCATGCAACCCATGGAGTGATTCATTCCGCCACATAAGACCTATAGGCGGTTTCCACACAGAACCGTGTCCACACACCCAGGGTCCACATTCAGGGCTGTACCACAGATTCTTGGGATTCTGGGTGGTCAACACTTGAAACATTCTTCGGCGTCCTGCAGCTGTTTGGAGGTCACCTTCTGCCAATCCGAATCTTTTGGAGCGACCACCAATGGACGACATTTGCTTTGTGAGTTCACTGTCACTGGAACACATGACTTCAAACAAATCAAGTTGAGGAAGTCGAAACTTGTTCTTCTGATTTTGTTGAATCACTTGGTCAAGTTCAGATTGAAATTGTTTTACCATACGTTGGATTCGTCGGTGATAACTGTTGTTGGAAACATCATGTGTGAAGTCAAAGTCTGTGTCCAGGGTCATGTTCAAATGCACCTCTTCTGCAAACATACCATGCCGGATCAGATCAGCCTCAGTTGCACTCAGAACTCTCAGTTCTCGGATTTCACCTGCATCTTCTTCATGTGCTCCATCATCTCGTGCATCATCATCTCGACTTGTCCCATTCGACTGGACAGATGCTGGTTGCTCTGTCGTAGATCTTGCATCTCCTCCTGAATGAAGGGCAGGTGCATCAGGTCGGCTGGATTTGAGCCGTCCGTGGGCATGACATCTTCCCAAACCTCCTGTGGAACGGGAGGCATGCTCTTGTTCTCTTTCGGCTTGGGGCTCTGGTTGCTGGTTTTGGTCTTCACCTGGACATCCTTCAGGCGCAGACGGACATACTGCACAAACATCATGTGCTCTGGTTTGTCGCTCATCTCGAACCTGTTCAAAATGAACTCGGTCCATTGTGCGTCCTCGAACGCCTGAGCATAGGTCATACCCTTCTTTGACTCTCCGAAGGTGATCTTCTCGCTGGCTAACTCTTCCAGAGTCATGGCACTCACGACCTCTCGAGAGATCTGCTTCTTCTGCGACTTGTTGTACTCCTTGAGCTGCAAAGCCAGGGACGTCATGTTCCCCCGGTGTTGAGTCACGTTCTGCGTTGATCTTTGGACCACACACTGCTGAGTCAATCGGACATGATGGTGACGGGCTCACCGGCAAGTGGGTTCTCAAAACTGTTTCATGGCAACTGACTGAACTTTCAAGCGGAGATGATTGGTCTGTCAAGTTGAGCTCACTACCCCTAAGGCTTCCCTGCGGCTGTTTGACTGTCATTTTGGCACCACGGTCAATTTCAGTCTGAGCCATGCAAGAGGCCTCACCTGATTCACCAGAAAAACTATCATCCCAAAGTTGATTCAAATTCATTAAGAACAGATTCTTTGGAGATCTTTCAAGAGTGAGAAACTTTCGTAAGGCCTTACTCCACATGGTTCCCTCTTCAGTGTCAATCACAGCTTGAATCTGTTTCAAAAACGCACTTGACAGTAAAAAAGGTGTTGGACCTGGAACAACTGCAATTCGGAACCATCCCTTTTGGATCGGGAGCACAAGTGCATGTTGGCTCGTCAGCGTCTGATGATTACCAAATCGAAACACTAAGTGGCATGGTGCACGGTGTGCTTGCTTTCGGATCTGTTCGGGAAGACCCTGCAAAAGTTCTGTCACCTGATGGCTTCCAATCACTGTCTGTGAAGCACCTAAATCAACAATGCCATGGGTACCTGATGACGCAAAGTGTATGTCATGTGAAATCACACTGGATGCCGGGTGATCTTTCGGATCATGCATGTGAGACGTCGAGGGACACTTTACATCATGGGACTTTGGCTGCGCAGCATCACGGTGGTTGGCACGAATGCTCAGTTCATTCCTGAGGGCCATTCGGATGCGTGACATAACATGTGATTTAAATCCCCATTTCTTACCCTTATCATTATTCCAATTATTCCCAAGTTTATTTCCCGTGATTACCCCAAAACATGCGGCTGCACAATCTGGCAAAGGCTCGGGAAATCTCATCTCAGGCAAATGGGAGATCTCGGGCGGGATCTCTGTTGGCACATCGTCGACGACCGCCATGGAAATCGGAACTGTTGATCCATCACTTGGAGGGCCAGTGGACGAGGCTGATTGACGAAGGCTACATTCGGCCTTCCAATGACCCTTTTTCCCGCACAGTCTGCACGTAGAATTAGCTATCCTCTGTGCTAGTGACTTTCCTTTTCCGCCTCCTTTTCCAAAACCTTTCTTGCCCCCACTTTTCCCTCCTTTTCTCACGGGCCAAAATCCTCTGAATTTGGCACGTTCTGTCAGGCGGCGACGTGCCTCCTGATATGAGGAAAAATAGGCAGCTAGGTCTGCATCACTCTGCACTGCTTCTGTCACTGCGTCCTCAAACTGTACCACCATAGCAGCATCTTCATCATTGTCATCGGCTAACTGTGCTAAGGTTTCATCATCCAGTGGATCATCAACAGTCCAATACGTGTCATGTTCTTCATCCTCTTCTACTTCATCAACATTGAAGGCCAAATGGTCATAGGTTTTCATGTTCTTTTCTCGTTTGGCACCCGTGTAGTCTTGAAAGAAAGATGAACCTAACATGCGTATGGCTGCTACGACCTTCTTCCATTCCAGTTTCTGTCCAATTTGTTCAGCTCCGGACTCCACCAACACGCGCTTTTTGTCTTCAGCTGAAAGGCGGCTGCCACGAAGCAAAACATACGATCGAATCTGATCCATGTCAACGTCCTTGGTCAAAAGCTCAGTCCAAACCACATCAACACGGGCGATGAAACTGTCACCTGTCTCGTCAGGCTTCTGCTGACATCGATACAAGGCCTTTTCCACCAACTCAAAACGATGCTCAAGGGGGATCTGTCCCCAGGTGCCCCCAACCAATTCCACCAGTTTCTGAACCCCTTTACGGTCATTCACCAAGAGGTCCTTTTGATGCAAATGAAGCTTCTGGTAGGCTGATCCCTTTGTGTTGAGGATCAGTCGGGTGATGAGCTCCAGGATTTTGGTCTGGGGCCATGCTTCAAGCAGTAGGTGAACCTTGCTGGACCAAATGTCCACATTGTCACTTGCAGGATCAAACGAAGGCACTAACAGCGCAAGCTGATTCGAGATGGTTCCACCCCCATCAGTTCCAGCCTGTCCTCCAGATGATTCAGTCATGAATTCTGTGGCGCCCGATCGCCAGGTAGCTCCGCTACCAATGTCAGATTGACACTGGTAGCTTGTTCACTTCCAATCCTAATCCCAGTTGGAACCCTGTCCAGCAATGCAAACTCCTGTTTTGCCCAATGCGAAGCCACGACCTGCAATCAGTCCAACGCACCCACAGCTGGCCACAGCTGTATCCGCTAAGCGTCACTGATAGCGCTATTGCTCAAGCTAATCCCTCCCTCCAGCCCAGAGGCTGCGGCAACAACTGGTTTCTGGAAGAACCCCCTGGTTCCATGAGGGAATGACCTCAAGCACATGTGAACTGGCCTGGCTTTCACAATATATATATATATAACATATATATATATATTATATATATAACATAGATTATATATATATAGTCCACAAATTAAATAATAATTATATATGTTCCATTAATATACCATAAATCCCCTTTACATCCCATTTATATCCCATTTAATCTCATTATGATGCCAATAAATCATTTTTTAAAAATATATAAGCCCATCTCAAATCCCATTGGTATTCCATGAATAGGAACATGTACAATTATTAGTAAATCCCATGAATTCCTATTTCTTATAAAACGGTTCATTAATAAAAAACAGTGTAAGTAAATCTCATGTGTTGATGAAGTCTTTCAATCGTCAGCTTGAAGGACATTGGTTGCAGCATTTGTGGTTTCGCTTTGCCAGACTTGGACCAGTGCCTAGATTTTCCGAGGATTTACAGTAGGTCACGGCATGGGGAACTCAAAAACCATGATTTAATGGGTGTTTAATGGGATTAAGGGATTTTTTGGGATACAGATGGGATTTCACTTGGATATAATGGAATATAGGCAGCCGAAATACGGCAAACTTCCTTGGTGGTTCACCCCAGGAACCGAAACTGGGCGTACAACCCACTTCCTGGGCTGAACCACCAAGTAGAGGTGCAGTTGGGGTAAAAGGAATGGATAGAACTGATATAATCATGATGAGTTAAACCTCCATAAGCTGGGATATGGGGCCCTCTAATTACGGCTATATTGTATTTCCACGTATAATTGGAAGTCCACCCCCAAGTGCTGATCCCTCAATTTAAATGGTCATGTTCATCGAAAAAGTTGAAAATGTGCGTCAGAGATTTCACTTGCCCACCATGATAGAATTTGACGGAGATTTCAGCCGCTTCAGCCACTGATTTTTGCATGCAAAACCGAACCTATGGGTGGTTTGGTCCTTGCTAACCAACTATTTACTAACTGGAGATATTTATGAACCAGTTGCATCCATTTTTGCCATAAACAGGGCTTCTTACAAACCAGGTTTTTGGAGGATGCAACTAAGAAAATGCGAGATCTTCATTTGGAGCTTGCCAACAACAGACTGTTTCGATGTACTGAGGCCGCTGAGTGGCTGGTTGAGGGGCGTGCTACCGGGGGGTGCTAACAAAGTTTGTATAGTTCATCATCGTGTCGTACTGGAATATGTCTACAGCCTGCACAAAGAGCGAACAAATAGTTCAACAACAACCTCAAAAGGTGGTGATGATGAGGATGAGGATTGTGATGATGATGATGATGATGATGACGACTACGATGATGATGATGATGATCTTCATTGACTTTGACTCAAATTTTGATGGCTGTCTCAAGACCCGATCAGTTGGATTGTCCTCTTCTGCGCCCAAGGTTTAAGCGCCATTTGGAGGGATATGATCACTTCCAGCAGTTGATTCAGAAAGCCACCTGACTTCACACACAGCATTGGACATGCCACTGCCCCACGCATCCCCGAATTGGTTGAAGGGAACATTTACAGCAAGCCTCCATATTCGCTGGGAAATAGGGAAATACCATGGGTTGTAGATATTCCCTTTAAATCAATCCTTGAATGGGGCTATACCAACCCGGAAACATGAGGTTTCGTTTCAAACCCCTTGGAGACCCTAGTGGTAGCAAGAAAAATCCAGATGGACGCCGTGCCAAGTTGGATACACCGCCAAGTTGGATTTGATCAAAGATCACCATCGGCTTTGTGATATGTCATGAATTGTAATGATGGGCTACGAGTTCAGATTCTTCAAACACCTTCGAAACAGTCGTGGTGTGTTTTTCAAAGATGATTTGTGCAAAGTTGGTTTGGATAACTTGAAATTCAAATGATCAGATAGTCTAGCGTCTCAAACTATACCATATTATAATATGATATTGTCATATTGTCATATTGTCTATGTTTTTTTCCCACAGCTGGCTTCATAAGTTGCCTTGGACGATCAGTTGCCTCTGCCTCTCTCTGAGCCACCGCTCGGATGCAGCGAATTGCGCCGAGGCTGGCTTTCCCGCCTGTCCCTGTGCAGACCGAGAGCGGTTGAAGCAGAACTTCAACAGCGCAACTGGTTCCTGGGATGCTGAGTGGTGCCTGTTGTGCATGGATTCCTGGATAAACTTTAATACATTATAGAGACCTCGCAACAGCCTCCAGATGAAGATGATGCTTAGTAGCCTCCAGATGAAGATGATGCTTAGTAGGGCAGGCTGACCGAAAAAGATGCTTATTTATATTTATTTATGTACCATTCAAATCTGTGGAGTGGTGATCATAAGCGAAAAATTGGAGGGTATGTGTCACGATACCCATATCGGGAATCCAAGATGGCAATTGAACATATCAATGTTTATTTAATATGCCATTCACTCTTTTATATAAATGTCAATATTAATCTGGCTGGTGGTTTCAAACATTTTTTATTTTCCATCATATATGGGATAATCCTTCCCATTGACTTTCATATTTTTCAAGATGGTTATTGCACCACCAACCAGCAATATTATGGTATAATATCCATTATTCATGGTTAGTATAATATCCCACTATAATAATATATACCATTGTTTATTGTTTATACATACCATTTATATATATATATACCATTATATATAAACCACCAACCAGCAGTATTAATGTGTGAATCATGTATTCATGTGTTTCAACACACGCCTTGTTTGATGATGATGTCGCTTTTTTTCGAGGCGGCGATGGAACCACCCTGTAGTTCATTGGTATGTTTATTTAGATGATCATGGAGCTTATTTATATAATATAATATATGTGGTCCATATATATATATATATATACATACATATACATAATATATAATATATATATCTCTCTCTCTCAATTTCATCCAAATTCTGGTTGGCAATCCCAGCATTTGTTAGGTCCTCACTTCCGTTCTTCCCAATCCTTCGCTCAGGTGCACGGATGACACTGGACCACTTCACTCTGGCGTTGCAAAAAGCCGAAGCCTAGCGGCCTCTGATGTCGATGCGAGGCCCTCTGACGCATCTGCTGGAAACTCTTGGAAACAGTAGGAATAGCCTCTGGTAAACTGTCACACTTTGCGAACTGGAAAAATCCACCATTAATATAAGAGGTAAATCAATGAAGTAAATGTGCCATGTTCAATAACTATGCTAAATTACCGGAGGGTATCCATTAGGTACAGGTGGACATTTTGGGTCAAGGCAGGAGGTATCCCTCCACATGTGGGCTGGGGGATCCCCATGGAATATCCAGAGGGGAGTTTCGTGGAAGCCTCGAAAACTGCTGTTGGTTTTTGATTCGGAAACCGGTGAAATGTTGGAACACGTCCGTATGCTTTTAATTTTAATGTTTTGACTGTTCGATGCAATTCTCATCGTTTCTTTCAAGATTGCATGAGCCAGTCAGTAATGCTGTTTTTATTTACTTTCTATGAATTATTGACTATTTGGTTGGTGATTGTTGGTCATTGGTGCCTGACTTGTTTTGGTGTTACATTTGTGGTCGGATGTCATGTCAGCGGCCTCCATGAGTTCTAACTTCCAACCGTGAAGTTGCGCATGGCCGCGAGCTGAATCCAGATGTTCCACTCATGTCTTCCGTGAAACCTATGGAATCCCAAATTGGCCGTTCTCACTTGGAAAATGCCGTGTTCCAGAGACCTTGGATTATGTGTGGGGGGTTCCAAGTTGGAGCTCAGCAGCGCTGTTGCCAACCATTTGACCAAATTGCATCAAATTGCAACGGACTGTTGGCCACTGCACCACAGGTTTTCAACATGTGTCTAATTTGTTGTGGAGACGACTATGGAACTCATGCCAACAAAATGGGGCCTGCGCAAGATTGCTTGCAGGAAGACCACATTTGGTATCCACGTTGAACTTCCAAGATTATTTTCACAGACCTTGCTTGGACCCTAATGTTAAGAAGTTGATTTTAAATTTTAAGCCATGATTTGGAGAACAATGCTCAGCTAACGACTATTTGTTCAGCTTTTAGCTAAAAGTCGCCATGGTTTCAGCATTGACATGCCATGCCTTCATGTATACACCAAGTAAATCCAACCAATATATCTGTTATCCTCATGGGGACATCTGCACCGAATCGACTGCCGAAAATGGTGGCATTGCCGTAGCAACAGTCGCGAACGTTCGGCTGCAGCTAGAATAGTTAGAAGTTAGAAGGCTCGAGAAAAGTTCATCCGGCGCAAGCTAAGTAAGGTGTTGGATGGCTGCAAAATTCATCCACCGACCACTTCGACATCGTGCATGTTGTGTATTGATAAGGCCCCTGCTTCCTGGTAGTAGAGCATAAACTATAAACATGTCATCCCATGTCGATTTTTGGGATCGGTTTGGCGGGTTCTACTCGCTGCGTTTATGAGTTCATCCATGTTCCTCCAAATTGGTTGCACCAAATGGATCCAAATGGACGACTTGTTGATTTTGGACATGGAGAAGGTGCCAGGGATACGTTGCCGCGATCTTCGGAACGGCCGCCTTAGGACCGGCAAGAAGAACGGAACGGCTGCCTTCGCACGGCACTTGGAGGTGGGATGGGTTCCACCGACCAGCGTTTGTGAAGCCATGATATTTCAATTTGACCCTGCGGATACATTCAGATACCATAGGTGGGTCAGATAGATATATTCAGATACCATGAAATAGTTTTTGTTGGTGTCCCTGGGGTAGCATGGGGCATCCGGGAATCCAGTGTGAAGTTTTGAACACCCAGTCTTCTTGGCAGACTGTCCAATTTTATTGGTTTTCTGCAGATGACAAGGTACACATTGACAGAGGCTCAATGGCAGGCATGAATCCAATTGAAGCACTTGATACCATTCTGGACAAGTTCGTTGCCAGAATGCTATATATCATATATCATATATATATATATATCACTGTTTATCATTGTTTATCCATGCTTATTCGTACATGTCCCGAAAGTTTTGTTGAAATCCAAGTGTGTTTAGCAGCTAAGCATCCTCCGGGTTCATTTGCAGTCCAGCAGAACAAGAAGCAGAGCATTTGTGATTCATGAATCCAGGGAAACCATGAATTTGTAGTACTTTAGCACCTATGGTACTTGATTGTTTGGATGTGTACACACACATTATATATATACTATCATGTATTATATTATTGCATTATATTATATTATACATATACATATTATACATTCTGTTTTGCGCACACATGTATATATATATGCGCACCATATAAATATATATATATATATGTATATATATATATATATGTATATAATATATATATATATATATGTTTGTGTGTGTATGTGTATGTATACTATCCAGCTAAGAAAAGATGTAGTGTATCCAAGATGGCCATGGAATGAACACTGTCTCCTGCAGGGTTTGCCTGCTGAGGAGAGGGCCCTGGAGGAAGGGAAAGAAGAGGTGGGCGGCTGTCAACAGCGGCTGATCGAAACCTACCCTTTGGTAATCAAACGTGGCAAGGAAAGTCCCTCATAAATGGAGGTGTAAATGTTTATGCAAACGGGAAATTCATCTATACATGGTCGATTTTCAAACGCCGCGTTTGATTGCCTAAGAGGAATCCCTTCTCGCTCCAGGGGAATCTTCATCTTTCCGGTGAAATCACTCAATAGATCCCCGGATTTTTAGGCAATCCCAGCCCATTCATATTAAAGTAAACATAACATACCTGAGAAACCATGGTTTAGATGGTTTTGTAGGGGAGAAAAAACACATAGTTGGCACCATAGAATGGGGGTGTTGAATATTAGGGGGATGGGATTACTGAGGTGGTAGACCCAATGAACCCTTCCCTTTAACATAAAACAATTCACATATGCGACCCAAAATGAATAGACAGAGATACTAAACCGAGGTAACCGAGGTTTCGTTTGGCTGGTATTTAGCATTGGGGGGAAGGGATGAATAAACCTACCATTTGGAATCATTTTGGGATTATTTTTTGCCATCCATGGCAAGTCGTTGGGGCCTGAGGGCCACGGGGTCCGGGTTTTTGTTGAGACTCCAGTCCAAGCTTATACAAACAAACACGGCAATGGAATAGATGCACATGATACGTGTAACCCTAAAACATCCTAAAACCATCTCAAAAGTGGTGTGAATGATGATTGAACCTGTAGATACCTAATTTACAGGATGCCAAACAATATGGTCGCAAAAGTTGTGCACCGTCGTGCCGTTGTTAAAACCCAGTACCCGCATGAGAGGGAACACTTCAGACTCTGAAGCTGTTGGGATAATTCGTGTCCAATCATTTCACCATCCAGTTTCCATCCATTTTCAAAGCAGGTTCAACCATTTTCAACCCATTTTCCAGCATTGCATGATATGACCGTTGTTCATCGTTTTTACCCACTTTCCAGCGGCAAATGTCCAAGTCATTGAGGCCTCTTTGCTGGTGGGCATCACGGGAGAAGTGGCAGTCCCTGCCCTCAGCGATAGCTCTGAGAGAGAGAGAGAGAGAGAGTTGAAAGCCACGGTGACTTGGGGAGCCCCCATTTTAAGAACCCCCCTTCATACACATGCACACACACGCATACAAATATATATATATATATAGAATTATAGAGATATATACACTGATGTTACTAGTAGTAGGCAATATACAGGATCCACCATCCTCAATGACTCACCATGTTTATGGGCGCGATTAAAACACCATCAACCATATGGCAATAGTTCAACTGAGGCTCGAGTCACCGGTTGAAAAACGCCAAGGCACAACTGCTCGAAGGTCGACGCCCACGAGAACCCCTGGAACTTTTCTTGGAAGACTTGGTGCGAGTCTCATTGGGGGATTGCAGATGGTGGTCATGGGAATGGCTCCTTGTAAGCTGGAAATCTTGAAGGGAAGAAAATAAAAGGACAAATGGGTGCAGTTTCTGGTGCAATGAATTGTTACTCGCAGGAAAACTCTTTACATAGTTTTAATGTGAGAGTTTTAATGAATTATCATGATTAATCCAGATACATTTATCCGTGAGCGTGTTTTCAATGATGCACTTGGTGATGTTGACAGCGAGGATGGTGGGATGATGCAGGATCTTTGTCAAACAACATGCCTTGATGTTTTAGAACTGTGGCTTGCCAGCAGGCGTGTGAATGATGCAATGGTTGGCATGAAGAGAAAATCAGAGAAAACCAGCAGTACAACCATGCGCAACCCAGAAACAACAACATATCAATGTACTATGATTGTTTTGAACCATGTCCCCCCCAAAAAAAACTTTGCATTTGAGCATGTGATTAATGCTTTACATTTGATTATCAGTCAGTTGGGACTAGAAGGTCTTTGCCACCCTATGTCAGAACTCGTGGAGGTGCTTTAGCCATCTTTAGCCCAGAATCTCTTTTTGGAGGATCAATTCCATGGCCACCACTTAAGCCGCCTTAGCCGCGCTGCCTTTGCCGGATTCCTGACATCCCGATTTCGCCATGTCACAAGTGTCGGATGCTGAAACAGTGCCCGGCGAGCTTCCAGAGAGGCTGTGGAAATGGTGAAACGAGCAGTAAAATGAAACATCTATGTTTCTGTCATAGCATTATTCAAGAACTGAAAAAATAATTTTCCTATAGTATTATCCACTTGTGTGCTCAAAATGGAAGTGCATGCATCTTTTAAAAGTCATTTTGTGTGGTTGTTGGAACTGCTGTACCTGTCGAGACTGTCGTGCCGGTGCTGCACTGAAATGACATGGTTTCTTTCATGTACGACCACGGAAAGCAAATTTTGAGTCAGATCCCACCATGAGGGACTCTGCAGCTCCAGTCGACGCTCAGTTTGTTTTTCTCCAGTGGAGAGCCACAAGGTTTTTGTCTCATATCCAGCTCTGCTGTTGCCCTTTTTTGGTAAACACCTGTACTTTTGACAATGTTTAATGAATATTCCATTGATATCGCATGATAATTCCATGTTTTTAGGGACATCCCCCATGAGGGCCACGGCCCTGGAGCTGCTGTCAGGGTGGATTCATGTCCAAGTGCAGGGCACGGCACACTGGTCTCCTGGCAGTGGGTGGATTGTGATGATGGATGATCATGGATTGGTTTACGGGAAAAATGACAGGAAACCATAGGAACGCCCTATATTTCATGGGAAAATCCATGAACATCCATGGTTTCCGCTTAAGATTTGTCCCCTAAACCAATCCATTGATGATGATGATGATGATGATGATTGAATAAAAGAACAAGAAAACAAATGGAGGATGCTTCTGGTGGCGCTTTGAGTTTTCTTTCGTTATCCGTTGTCACAGAGATGATTGAATGGCCCATGGCTATGCTTTGTGGAGGCCCCTGACTTTGGGATGCTCGTGTCATCGATGCTGCCTGAATTTAAAATGCACCCCCAAAAAAATAGACTGGAACGATTGAAAACCACGATCCTGCTTGACATATTTGCTGGCTCCATTGGTTCAAGGATGAAAAAAATCTGGAATGTGTATATTTGATCCAGTTTGGTGTCAGATCCCCCCAGATCCTTGGTGTGCGAAAGGTCGAAGATTCCCAGCCCCAACGTGCCCTGTGGATGCGACCCCCGCTGCCAGCGCCTCCAGTGCCGGCTCCGGCAGTGCCTGCCGATGCGCGGCCTAGGAGGCGTGGGGCAGATTCAACAAGGCGATTTGTTGTGGATCTAATGGGGAAACTATATTTATAGTCATCCTCAGAGGTGAATGGATATATGATGATATATGCAATGTTCCAAAACATGAGCAATTTAAAGGGAGGATGGATATTTATACATATAATTACATATATATATATTATAACTATATAATACACACATATATATATATATATATGATTGGGATATTTTGGGATGCACATGGACTTATAACTATAACACTATTCATGCATATTTATAAATGCCATAATACTTGTATCTGTATGGATTTGCTTGAAAATTGGTTGATATCCTAAAATGGCAATAGAATAATGTGGAAATGATATTGAAAAAAAACTGATGTAGGGGGACCCTATTTTCAGCCAAACCCACATGTCAAGATGGAATACCATGCTAGAGGGGTACCTTGATCCTCACTTTTGATACATTGAGGGTCCAGGTATATGATATGTACTCTCCACGTGAAGTGCACGACGATGATAAAGGAGGAGGGGCATCAGTCTTGAATGATGTGCAACCAGTGGTTCCTCCATCAAAGGATTTGTAGCTGGTTTGAACTGGGTTTGTTGTCATTGTGATATTATGATCCCAAGTGATTTGTTTCTTGATATTGGTTGCTCCAGCAGGCACCTCTGAAATCTATGTATTTTGTTGAGTCTATTCGTCCCCATTATGACTGCATTTGATGTGAGCCTCAATTAAAAAGGAACTGAGACTACTTGCCGGGGAATAGTATCACAAAATGGTTCCAAAGCTGGATTTGGAAGATCAGATGCCAATTGTAAATGGCAAGTTTGGGGTAATGTTCCACTGCTCGTTTTCAGCGGGATAGATGGTGAAATGACGGGAGGACCTACCGCAGCCTCAGACCACACATGCAGCATCTGGGCTGTGCGTTGAGGGGGGAGGGTGAAGATCCCGATACCTTCAGTTGACCCAGCAATATAGGGATAAATGATGGTACATGTACTGAAACCATGCAGAACATACCAATTTCTTTGGGTAATTTGAGAGGCCAGGTGTGATTTGAACATGGGCTATTTGAACATAACCTTATTTCAGGATATTTCAGGCCGGTGAATGATCACAATTTACAATGCGTCCACTTTTTTATGCTGAAGAACACCGGGAAATTTTCGGGCAAACTTTCGGGATGAACCAGGGGTACTGTTGGGCTTCCAACACAACAATCAATATGTTTAGGTACCGTACCGCTAGTATACCCACTATTGCCAATAGCTGTTAGATATTCATTGACTATTTGAACTGCTGGAAGCCAAGAACAGTAACACCCAAAAGAAAAAACAACATTATTAATTTTACGATAGCAACCCCCAAGCAGATAGAAAAATAGCACCGAATATCCAATCCAAAAATTGTGATAAATTGAAGCTGTTCTATATGAATGGGGATTATTACAGAATTTTCCGGAATTGACTTTTCATATCTTTTTGGGGGTCGCTATGCCCGCAGATCATCTCAGGCTTTTGCCGCAGCGCACCTTCACGTTACCCCGTAGCACCCTGGTTTGGTGCAGTGGTGTGGCGAACCCTGTTAAAATGCGCGAACAACATCATCAAAATCATGGAATATGTGGGAAACATGTGGAACAAAATCATGGTTTAATATCATGATGATCCTCATAGGATGCTTCTCATGATTTGCCATGACATGTTTGGAGGTATCCCTCATTTCTGGATGGACCCCAGTGACGTTGTCGCGTTGTAGTGCTACGCTACAGTGGCTGGACATCACACGCACGTCATGAGGCTTCCTTGGCCCTCGTGCTGTGCCAGCGGAGATGCAGTACGTTCCTGTGAACGATCCAGCCGAAGGTCTCTCGTACATGATGTGCCTGGCTGGCAACTGATGATTTTTGACGAATCAATTGATGAATATTGATGATAGCATATCTCTATCCCGTTTTTTGGGTGGATTTCCTTGATTGCACCCAATGTTTGAACCAAATTGACGTAATATCGTCTACTTTCAACCCGATGCTCAGGGCTTCCGGCTTCACCAAGGTGCTCCTACTGCAAGGGCGACCGCATCTACCGGGTCTTCCAGAACTTTCTGCGGCACCTGGAAAGCGGCGAATGCCCCAGTGGACAGCCACCTGCCTGGGAGTTGGAGATGCCTTCGGGGCGTGCCGCTTTGGAATCCCAAGCCTAGGTGTTGACCCGTTTGGATCCATATGGGATATTTGGGCGATGGCTGTTTGGACCTTAGGTGACTATCGCAAGAACAAATCTTGGGGGATCTCCTGAAATTTCAGTGACAGAAGCACCAGAAGTGTCAGATATGTCCATTTGGAAGTATAAAGCCATATTATGCAATTATAAATATTATATAATATTATATAATATAAATATAAAATTATAAAATATAACCTATATATATATGTCACGAACCATGTCTTGGGTAATGGATGTAATGGATATTGATCATCTATGAACATGAATTACTTTACTTCGTGTGATCCCCACCATGACATTTATACATTTTCTTAGTGGCAAATCTTCTGGCATTCTATCTGACATATCTTCTGCCATTCAATCTGGCATTCTATCTGGCATATCTGCTGGCACATGTTCTGGCATATGTTCTGGCATATCTTCTGGCATTCTATCTGGCATATCTTCTGGCATTCTATCTGACATATCTTCTGGCATATCTTCTGGAATATATTCTGACACATCTTCTGGCATTCTATCTGGCATATTTTCTGGCATATCTTCTGGCATTCTATCTGGCATATCTTCTGGCATTCTATCTGGCATATCTTCTGGCATTCTATCTGACATATCTTCTGGCATTCTATCTGGCATATCTTCTGGAATATATTCTGACGTATCTTCTGGCATTCTATCTGACATTTTATCTGGCATTCTACCTGGCATACCTTCTGGCATTCTATCTGGCATATCTTCTGGCATTCTATCTGGTATATCTTCTGGCATGCTATCTGGCATATCTTATGGCATTTTATCTGGCATATCTTCTGACATTCTATCTGGCATATCTTCTGGCATTCCTTCTGGCATTCTATCTGGCCGTTGGGGTCCAGCGGTGCACACTGAGCTGGGAAGGTCCCAGGTTGAGGTCCAGCAGTGCACACTGAGCTGGGAAGGTCCCAGGTTGAGGTCCAGCAGTGCGCACTGAGCTGGGAAGGTCCCAGGTTGAGGTCCTGCGGTGCACACTGAGCTGGGAAGTTGGCAAAGAGCTTGGCGAAGAGTGGCAAGGCGGAAGTGGAGGTGGAAGTTGATGCAGACATGGTCGAGGAGAAACTAGAGGAGGAGGCGGAGGAGGAGGAGGCGAGGAAGAGGAGGACCAGGAGGAGGACAGCTAGCCGAGGAAGAGGAGAACAACTCTGATAAAATCTAACAACCCTCACCTGGCAGGTGGGGTAAAACAATCATGAGCAATCTGAATCTCAAGGGTCTTAACCTACACTTTTCAAGGACAAACTGATGCCCCGTAGCTCAGGCAAGAGCTGCTGAGGCTCCGCTCAGAGCCACTTGGTCAACCGCTGCGGTCAAGGTGGAATGGCTGTGGAATACCGCTGCGGTGAGTACAATTCTGAAATCTCAGGAATTTGGATTTTTTGGGTGATCAGTGCTGAATAATTGGAGGTTTCACCAGATAATAATCGATAATAATAATGGATAATATCTACTTGCTCCTGACAGTTTCCTCAATGTGGGAATGGCGATGGAGAGAACCAAGTGGCAGTGCTTGGATGACCACGGAGGAAAACCAATTGGGCAGCAATTGGATTCTATCCCGATATCTCCCCAATGGAAATGGCATAATGATGGCATAAATTATGTATAAACAATTTGCCAAGTAAGAAGAACCATACCAATCACAATCATACCACCACTCTACACTCTAGCCATCATTACCAATATGTATATTTATATATATATATATAAACTAATCATAAGATTAGCAATGATCATAGTATAATATGATAATCATGACATGTATTTGGGCCTATTTTGGACCTATTTTGGCGATTTCAGCGGCTCAGGAGCGCCGGAAGCGATGCCCTGCCGCTGGCCCAGGATACCACCGCCGGGACCACCGGGACCGACGGTATCAGCGGGAGGCAGGGCGAGGAATCCTTGGAGACGGAGAAACTCGGTGAAATCTCGGTGGATATTTCTATCATGTTCCATTTATACCCTTTGGTTATGTCAAAATAGCTATTGAAAATGGCCATAGAAATAGTGAGTTTTCCCATTAAAAACTGTGATGTTCCATAGTTATGGGACAGTTTACCAGAGGGTAGTTTCTATTTTGGCGTAAGGCGTGTGCCGGCTGGGGAGTCCATTTTTTTGTGGTTATTTAATAGGAATGAATGGGAAATTCATGGAGATATTAGCACTTTAAAAGGTGATTTCGTGGAGAATTACCCTTTGGTAATTCATCATAGATGGATGAAAATTGCCCATGATATAATTCCTATTAAATAGGAATATCTATATATAATATATATATATAGATGATTTGCCTATTAAAAACTGTGATTTTCCATAGCTATGTTGAAGCCAAGGGGTAAAGCGGAGAAAAAGGGAGAAATATGGATATATCTAACAAAGAAAAGGAAACCAAGCAACATAAATATGGATTTTACATGTTCGCTAGAAAAGAAACGCATAATCACAGTAAAACAAGAAACTTTTTAAACCTGTTTATACTGGTAAGTTGAACTAACACCAACGAGGGAATTGGATCATCAAAATCTCGTCATGAGGCTATTGCGAAGCATCATTGAAAGGCGACGTTTGAGCCCCGATGTGACATCAGAGACCTTGGGCTACCGGTTCCCCCTCTTTTGTCGCTCATCTCCCTTTATGGATCTTTATGGTTGGAATTATTGTTTGTTAAAACTTAAGCCAATTTAATTTAAAACTGGAGTTCAGTCCCATAGATATCTTTTAAAGGTGGCATTTTACATCCTCAGTTATCTTGATTTATATAATATATAGTTTAGGCCTACAAACATACAAACTTCTCACCTCTCCTGGCTATATAAGTTCTATTTGTTTGTTTTCAAAAATGAAATCCCCGCGTGTTTGTGGACAGGCCGCTCCCACCTTCTCCTAAGGACCCCCATGGAAACGAGTTTTCGATGCCGCAGGGCGCTCTTGGCAGAGCTGAGATTGTTGCAGCCCAAACGCTAGGCAGAGATGGCCGTGGATGCCTTGGGCTTGTTGAATCGCAGCATTCAGGAGAGCGCCTTGCGCCCTGTGGCAGGGGGTGGAAAATGATGGAACATGCGGGAAAAAAAAAGAACTGAAAGGATCAGGATCAACAGGGGTGTTTTTGTGATCGGGACAAGCCATTTCCAATTCTAAAGTGCACATAGTCAGCAGATCTCCAGTTGGTTGGATCAGTTGGATTTCTTGGATTTCTTGGATCTCTTGGGTCGGGTCAAGATTTTTGTTGGGAGAAACGCGATTTTCTCCGGTGACGCCAGCCATTCAGGTTGAATTGGTATTGCAAGTGAGTTGGATCTCCCTATTCCTGGCTTTTATATACCATGCTTCCAGTGATTGCCATTAAAATCACCATGGCATTGGCTCAAATCTCCTGGTCTAGGCTTAAATCTAAGTGTTTGGACTTCCATCACTTTTCTTTTTTGCCTTGTATAAATCAATTGCATCCCCCCATGTTCCATTGATTGTTGGCTCCCATATTTGCTGGGCAAATCCTAGCTGGAAACCCCCATGGCATTCGCCCATTCGCCCTGATTCTCCTTGGATTTGCTGCTTGATGATTTTCCAACATTTTCCCAATTGGAAATCCACGTTTCCTTGGGAATAGTTTTACCAGGAGTGCTGCGCAAGGTGGTGGCGGAAGTTTCAAAGATAGGACACTATAGGAGAGGTGAGTTGTTGTGATGCATGGATGGCAGAGCGAATCCACTCATGGACCAAAGGTGGTTGGAGTTGTGTTTTTTGGAGTGGTTGCAATGGTTGCAGTGGTCACCTCACCGACAACTGCTGGATGTAGTGTGGTGTGGTGCAGCTGTAGTTGTAGTTGTACTGTAGTGGAGTTGTAGTTGTAGTGTAGTGTAATTAGTGTAGTTGCATGTAGTTGCAGTTGCAGTTGCAGCTGTGGTGTGGTGTAATGACAGTGTAATGGGTATAGTGTAATGTAGTGTAGTGTGATGTAGCCTTGCGTTCTGTAGCGTGGTCTAGTGTAGTGTAGCCTAGTGTAGCGTAGTTGTAGCTGTAGTTGTAGTTAGTGTAGTTAGTGTAATGTAGTGTAGTGTGTAGTGGAATTAGTGTAATTTAGTGGTAGTTTTAGTGGTAGTTGTAGTGATAGTCGTAGTTGTAGCTGTAGTTGTAGTGTAGTGTAATTATTGTAGTGAGTGTTGTGTAATGTAGTGTGGTTGTCGTTGTAGTTGTAGTTGTAGTAGTTGTAGGTGTCGTTGTAGTCTACCCTAGTGTAGTGTAGTGTAGTGTAATGTAATCAGTGTAGTGTAGTGTAATGTAGAGTAGAGTAGTAGCAGCAGCAGCAGCAGGTGGTAAGTAGTAGTAGTAGTAGTAGTAGTAGTAGTAGTAGTAGTAGTAGTAGTAGTAGTAGTAGTAGTAGTAGTAGTCGTAGTAGTCGTAGTAGTCGTAGTCGTAGTCGTAGTCGTAGTAGTAGTGTAGTTGTAGTAGTAGTAGTAGTAGCAGTAGTAGTAGTAGTAGCAGTAGTAGTAGTAGTAATAGTAGTAATAGTAGTAATAGTAATAGTATTACTACTAGTAGTTGTTGTTGTTGTTGTTGTAGTTGTAGCTGTAGTTGTGGTGTAATTAGTGTAGTGTATTGTAATTAGTGTAGTGTACTGTAATTAGTGTAGTGTACTGTAATTAGCGTAGTGTAGTGTAATTGGTGTAGTGTAGTGAAATAAGTGTACTGTAGCGGTGTAGCATTTTTGCGTGTGTAGTTGCAATTGTAATTGTAGTGGTAGTGTAGTTGTTGTTGCAGTTGTAGTTGTAGCTGAGTATGTATGTATCTATCTATCTATCTATCTATCCATCTATTTGTTAATCAGAAGCGCAGCAATTCTTCGAGACTCCTCAATTTTGGAGCGTGACAGCGTCAAAAACGAAGCTATTCTGCGAGACGTCCTCAGTTTCTCAAGTCGACAACACGTCCTTCAAAAATGGAAAGTTAAGTGCAGAGCTGACAGCCTCGTGCCAATGCGTTTTGCGATTTTTCCACTCCATTTGTCTAAAGTACTGCGCCTGCCACGAAAAAGTGGGACCAGGTCATACGAAGTGCTGCACCTGTCACGCAAAATCATCTCAGCAAAGCTGAAGATCGGAAGCTCCAAAATGCAACCTCTCTCAGGAAATCAGCGCCCGGATCTCCTAACAGCTCTGATGAACATGTCTCTTGCACTGCGCCTGCCACGGAAAATCCATGTTTCATCATCTTTCCAGATCCTCTTCAAATGGCTCACGCTTGCCATCGTTTTTTGAAATGCTACAAAACCCTCATGTTTTGCTCACTTTTGACAAGGTCCACAAGCCCTTGCGCCTGCCACGCGAAACGACATCTGAACGTTCAAAAGTTGTCCGAGCATGTGGTGTTTTTAACCCTTTGACTTGGACATTTGCTTCGCGCCACAACGGTGTGCACTTTTTCAACATCTCTACTTCCAAACGTGGACCGAACATGTACATTTTGACTTGGACATGTGCTTCTCGCCACAACGGCGTGCACTTTTTTGACATCTCAACTTCCAAAAGTGCTCGGAACCTGGTTTGGTTTGCACATTTTGACTTCGAAATGTGCTTCGCACCACAAGGACGTGCAATTTTTCATTTCTCATCAGGCCAGATGTCTCCCCACCCGCCGCTTTAGCGGGCCTACCTTTCGAACCTCCGGAGCCACAAATCATTGGAAAAACACAGCGGTTCGCAACTTTTCTACCTTTTCGCGCACCTGCATCTTCTTTCCTCTGACTCTTTCCTCTGACTCTTTCTCTTCTCTGATCTTCTCTGATCTTCTCTGATCTTCTCTGATCTTCTCTGATCTTCTCTGATCTTCTCTGATCTTCTCTAATCTTCTCTGATCTTCTCTGATCTTCTCTGATCTTCTCTGATCTTCTCTGATCTTCTCTGATCTTCTCTGATCTTCTCTGATCTTCTCTGATCTCCTGATCTTCTCTGATCTTCTCTGATCTTCTTCTCTTCCTCTTCCCCTTCCCCTTCCCTTCCCTTCCCTTCCCTTCCCTTCTCTTCTCTTCTCTTCTCTTCTCTTCTCTGACTCTCCCCACCTCTGCTTATCTGTCCATATTGTCGGAAGTTTGACTTCTAAACTTCCTTCGGTCATATAGCGATATCATGCTTTGATCCTATCTATATGGGAAGATGTTTGGTTGCAGCAACTCCAAGTTTCAACTTTAAGTCACCGCTTTGGATGGTGAAACCTGAGTACCCCCATGACACCAGGACCTGCTGTTGCTGCTGCATAAAGCTCGGGAGGACCCACAGCTGGGGAAAACGAACACGGTGAAGGTGCCAGCACCTGCGATGTGGCTCGGTGTCAGCTCAAGATATGGGAGATGTATGGGATATGGGGAAATCACGGGAAACTAATGGGAAAATATGGGAAAATGTAATTAATTATACATTGAATGGAAAACATGGGGAAACCATGGGAAAATGTATAGGCAATTCATGGGAAAATAAATGTTGCAATAGGACCTAGGAAATTTTCGCCCAGTTGTTTGACAGTTCTTGTGGCTTACTGTATGTCGTATGTCATAATTCGCAATAAACCCCAGGAAGGTAGAACAGATTAAATTGATCATGATTTTGGCATTGGATTTTACTTTTCTATCTTGTTGTTTTATTTTTGTTGCGGGGGGCGGGGTATGGGGTATACGGTTTTTCATGAGACCTTCAATGCCAAATCAGCTGAACATGTTTTTTCAATGAGACACCACCGAATTATATATAGTTGCGATAAACCTTGGATTTAACGTGGTGAAATTTGGGGGGAAAGCACCGATTCGATGGATTTGATGGGAATATGTTTAAGGGATATGGTTTGGAATTGGGTTGCTGATGGGCCAGATGGGGATTTAAACAGCCATCGATATATATGGGGATTACCAGTGGGATATAATATAGATGTAGTTGGATATATATAACCAACACACATGATATATATGGGTCTGTATGAAAATAGGGGAATTGCCCTGAAGATACGGCCATCAGAGAACCGTGAAAATTCTAATTCACCAGTGGATGGGATCGGGTTTCGGCAATGATTGCAGCTACATGTGTTTTTAGATATGCGTCATTAGACAATGCACGCAATTTCACAAAAATGTGTAGTAGATGTATGGGATGTGGCTGACGGTAATATGTGCACATGGGAATTGCAAGGAAGACGGGTTACAGCCTGAAAACTGAAAACTATCATTGTTGGTAGCTGGCTACTAGCCTTTCATGGAGTTCAGGCATCCTTAGGTTTCGGCAGCTGTGCTACTGTTCAACTATCATTGGTCATGGCAGGTTTGGCGTTGAAAGGGTTTTGTGTAGCTTGGCAGTTGTGTTTACGTTTTTCCATTCCTGTTTAGGATAATGCATCCAAGGCCATCATTTTTGAGGACCAGATCCGATGTTTCACCCCTGCCCTTAGGAAAGCCAAAGTTCAGCGACATCCTGTAGAAGCCCTGGCTGACAGGTGGCCCCTGCCGAGATTTTGGAATGATAGGTTGGTCAACCATGTCTTCAAAAGGGATCAATATTCCCCGTCATGGGCATATATAAATATATATAATTATATAATTATATATATATAGGGAAGAGGTGTGAGGTTCCCCAGATCGCAAGTCAAGTTCATTGTTTGCAATTTTCAGAAATGTATAAACATGTCATTTTTCACTGTGTTTTACAGTGTTTTGTTTTCTGTCTATAACTTAAAAACATATGGAATCAGTTCAACATGCGGACAACATACCTGGGATATGCTGTCCGCCGTTTGAAGGTTTTTATGTTTTTCAATTTCTTTATTTTATGTTATCTTCGTAGACACCAGTGGAATTGTGTGTTGATATTTTTTTTGAGTAACATGGAAATGTTATAATCCACCAAAGAACCATGGGCGAAATGCACATGAGGTGTTTTACTCTTCACACCCACAATGCCGGTTTGAAAACAGTTGTAGGCAACATGCTCAACGTATCAACAATGTCAAGGTATCAACAACATCACCATAACAACATCTTCAACGTAACAACATCTGCAACGTTACCACATCCTCAACGTAACAACATCTTCTGGTGATGCAATGCCATGAACGTTAACATCACATCCCCCACCTCCCCCTGCTTATGTCTATCAGAAAGAGACTCAAGGTTCCTCCATGCTCCGGGGAACCTCAAGCCTCTCCCCTATATAAATATATATATGTACGATGGACCTTCATGTACTATTTGACCGTTGACTATTTGATTCCATTTCAAATTGAAAGCAATCTCCCAGACGCCAAAAAGAGGTTCAGAGAGACTTTTGGGAGAAGTTCATTATATTTTGAATATTTTGAATATTTTGAAATTCAAAAAATTCAAAATATTCAAAATATTTTTGTATTGGCTAAATTTTTTGAATATTTTGAAATTTTGAAATTCAAAAATTCAAAATATTCAAATTTTTGTATTGGCTAAATTTTTTGAATATTTTATTTTGAAATTCAAAAAATTCAAAATATTCAAAATATTTTTGTATTGGCTAAATTTTTTGAATATTTTGAATATTTTGAAATTCAAAAAATTCAAAATATTCAAAATATTTTTGTATTGGCTAAATTTTTTGAATATTTTGAATACTTTGAAATTCAAAAAAATCAAAATATTCAAAATATTTAAAAAATAATGAAATCACCAAAAAAGAGGTTCAGAGAGACTTTTGGGAGAAGTTCATTATATTTTGAATATTTTGAAAATTTGAATAAAAAATTCAAAATATTCAAAATATTTTTGTATTGGCTAAATTTTTTGAATATTTTGAATATTTTGAAATTCAAAAAATTCAAAATATTCAAAATATTTTTGTATTGGCTAAATTTTTTGAATATTTTGAATATTTGAAATTCAAAAAATTCTATTGGCTAAATTTTTTGAATATTTTGAATGAAACTCAAAAAATTCAAAATATTCAAAATATTTTTGTATTGGCTAAATTTTTTGAATATTTTGATTTTTTGAAATTCAAAAAAAAAATATTCAAAATATTCAAAAAATAATGAAATCACCAAAAAAGAGGTTCAGAGAGACTTTTGGGAGAAGTTCATTATATTTTGAATATTTTGAATATTTTGAAAATGAAAATTTCAAAAAATATTTTGAAATTGGCAAAAATATTTCAAAATATTCAAAATATTTTTGTATTGGCTAATTTTTTGAATATTTTGAATACTTTGAAATTCAAAAATATTCAAAATATTAAAAAATAATGAAATCACCAAAAAGAGGTTCAGAGAGACTTTTGGGAGAAGTTCATTATATTTTGAATATTTTTGAAATTGAATATTCAAAATATTCAAAATATTTTTGTATTGGCTAATTTTTTTGAATATTTTGAATATTTTGAAATTCAAAAAATTCAAAATATTCAAAATATTTTTGTATTGGCTAAATTTTTTGAATATTTTGATTTTGAAATTCAAAAAAATCAAAATATTCAAAATATTTTTGTATTGGCTAAATTTTTTGAATATTTTGAACATTTTGAAATTCAAAAAATTCAAAATATTCAAAATATTTTTGTATTGGCTAAATTTTTTGAATATTTTGAATATTTTGAAATTCAAAAAATTCAAAATATTCAAAATATTTAAAAAATAATGAAATCACCAAAAAAGAGGTTCAGAGAGACTTTTGGGAGAAGTTCATTATATTTTGAATATTTTGAATTTTTTGAATTTCAAAATATTCAAAATATTCGAAATATTTTTGTATTGGCTAAATTTTTTGAATATTTTGAAATTCAAAAAATTCAAAATATTCAAAATATTTTTGCATTGGCTAAATTTTTTGAATATTTTGAATTTTTTGAAATTCAAAAAATTCAAAATATTCAAAATATTTTTGTATTGGCTAAATTTTTTGAATATTTTGAATATTTTGAAATTCAAAAAATTCAAAATATTCAGAATATTTTTGTATTGGCTAAATTTTTTTGAATATTTTGAAATTCAAAAAATTCAAAATATTCAAAATATTCTTGTATTGGCTATTTTTTTGAATACCTGGAACGCCAAAGTAGCCTATATTAATGGTACACTTTGTCCAGTGGCCTACTTTATTTGCAACGTTAAGGGTTTCCCAAATAAAACCGTGAACTTTAACCAAAAATAGTACACTTCTCTCCTAACCCTTCCAAACCACCCAAATCCAGGTTTCCACTGCCTTCGCCTTCTCAGGCCAACTGTTTCTTCTCCATCCGCAGCAAATTTTGGCGGTGTGAAATTGGATGGTGAATGGGCCAAAGCATGACCAGGTGTGCAACAGAAAGGTTTTTAGCGATAGGTAGGGATAGGATAGCCAAAATTATCATCCACCAACCACTTGTAAAGGATATTCTAGGGTTATGGTTGCATTTCTTGTATTACTGACAGCCCACCTAGCGCAGCGATGGCCATTGGTGCTCTCACTCCGCTGTGGTTCAATCCTGCGACCCAAGGAGCCCTTCACTCTTGACCATTGGCCTAAACTTTTTTCGGGGGATAAGAAGGGCTTAAAATCTTTTGTTCAGTCACCACTAAGATAGAAAATAAAGATGGTGCCTTCTACAATGAGCACATCTCAACAAGTGGTTCAAGACCCTGCATGGTGATTGGACCTGGCAGGAGACTAGATTCCACCGCTGATGGCATGCAATTTGGACTTGGTATGGAGCCTCGATAGCACAGAAGTATTCCCATTTCATGCCCCCGTAATTCCCAATATGAACCCGTAAGAACCATTGATCGACATGGTTTGCAGTAGTATGCCCCTTGATTTGTGCTATATCTACAATCCACCTCAATCCCCTTGATCCCATTTCAACATCTCAGGACACAACATCTTTCTGGACACCCGGCTCCTTCTTGAAGCTTGTCCCACTGACTTGTTTACTTTCAGATCTTCGGTCCTTCAGTGGCTGGATGCTGGTGTGAACGCTCAGTAACCACCATCTTGAATTGTTTTTTTAGGTGCCAAAGACAAAAAAATCATACCGCAGGGATCTTAATCAATTTAGCCCCTCGGTCATTTCCCTTTTGATTTGGATTGATGGGGGAAGCTCGACCTGCTGAAGAGCTTGCTTTGGACTGGGAATCTTGTCGAACCATCCGGAACAGATTCCGGCGGGACTTGGAATGGATCCAGTGGCCAACGGCGGCCATCGAGACTACCGGTGGGAATGATCTTGCCGATGGAGCTGAGGAGGATGAGATACCCAAACGGCCCATTTGCACAAAGGCTTTAGAGCTGAATGCTCATGCTTTGCTGTGCATGCTGGACTACTTTGAGGGCAATTTCATTGATATCGGAAAGCTTCAGGCTGAGGCTCTCTAAGTTTCATGTCGTATCATGTTATGTCCTGTCTGCGCAAGGGGTTGAAATATCCAAGATCTGATCTAGTCATAGTGTGACATCTACCATGGTTTGTGTGAGGTTTCCATTTATATAACCTTTGCATGATGCACTGTACGGTATACTTGTTATATGCGTTGAATGGGTGTAGCCGCTCGTCAGGTGCGCGCTTTGTATGCACTGATGAAGTATGACACGGCGAACCCCAAAAGGGCAGCCTATATGGATTCTTGGCATTTGAGAAGGCTATACACCTTCAGCTTTCGCCGTCAACTGGATACCCAGAAGCGTGGCCAAAAGCCCCGGGACTGGAGTTTTGCAAATTGAATATGTTTTTCATGCACTAAAAGAACAAGCTTTGTGAAACTTTAGAGGGTGAAGTACCTCCCCATACCTGACACTTACTCTCCCATTCCTTCATGAGCGGGGATCGCCCTGCCAGGACCCCAATGTGCGCCGGTTGTTTGAGAAGATTGGGGAATACCGTAAGTTGTGGAAGCTCCAGGAGCAGGAGTGGCTTCGGGATGAGGACTCAGTGGGTGAGCACGGGGATGATGATGAGGGGTACATGAACGAGGACAGCCCCGACAATGCACCTGTTGATGGACCTCGTCCTAGTCCCACTTCAGTGGTTAGTGAACCTACACCTGTGACTACCCCGAAGTCTGGCCAAGAGTTGGAGATCGTTGACCAACAACTAGCTGAGTTGGGAATTGGGGGGGGGAACATGACCCCCAACCAGCGTGCAGAGTTGGCTTCCTTACTGGCGGGCATCGAAGAAATGAAGATCAAATCCAACCAAACGTGCATACCTCATTTATCTTGTCAACACTACATGCTGCATATCATGTTGATTTTATTTCCAAATGTCTATTAGTTTGGGATTCGACCCACCTTCTATCACTGAACAACCCTAGGTCCCCTGCTTCGACGGTGGCTGGCTGTGCAAAACCGGTGGAATCCCCTGATGGTGCCTGGGCTTGCATGCCCACACAGTGTGGATCGTAAAGCAAACATGTATAAACATGTTGTGTGTAGTGTAGGGCAATGTTGTGTGTAGGGCAATGTTGCGTGTAACGCACGTATAGCAGCAAAAGGATTTTGCTGGCATTAAGTAAGGTACTTGTCGGGCACTTTTTGCTTTACCGGCCCCTCCTGCTGTCAACCCAGACCAGGCACCAGGGACATTTCAAGTTGCAAATGGTTCGAACCAGTATGAACCAGGTGACTATTCATCATGATTCCTTGTAAAAAATGTAAAAAATATTACGGATATGAGCCGACAAGAATTTCAAAACATTTTGTTTCCGGTCATTCACATCACACCTCACAGCCTTGAGCCCTGTTTGCGTGCAGTTGGACACTTTGCCCATGGAGATGGAGGACCAGAGTGGCATGGATGTGGAGAACATGGGTGATGTGGACCCAACCCCGACCGAAGTCACTCCCAGCCCATTGCCACCAAAGACTTTGGAAGAAACTCCTGAGAAGGCTAGGGTTTGTTTCGGTTGCATTCCTACCATATCCTGGTACCTGTACATGTGTTGATTTGGACCTTTTTGTTCCCTATACGTGGGCCTCCCCCTCTCAGGTGGAGAAGCCTGCAGCTGGCCTCACACCTACCTTGCAGCATGACATGCGCACGAAGCAAGGAAAGAATATGAAAAGGGGACGCAAAGCAAAGAAAGGCAAGGCCAAAGGCAAAGGTACAAGCGGCACCAAGCGCACCAAAGTCTTGAAAAGAGGTTTGAAGGATTCTGCAACCACCAGTGCAAAGACAGCTGGCCCTGTTTCAGGTAGCAAGCGCAACCTGAAAACCCTTCGCAAGATGAAGAGCCCAACCAAGTTCCCTGCCGAGTGCATGCCTGATGAGCATGATGAAGTGCCCAAGCCCCCAGTTAAGACCAACAAGGTGAAGAAGGTGAAACAAGATCCCAAACTTGATGCCCCTGCACCCAAGAAGAAAAAAACTTCAGCAAAGGAAGAGGTTGCATCTAGCAGTTGGGAGCCAAGCGCATGGAGGGAGGTTCACCAGAACCGTGTCAAGTTGGGCCGAAGTTGGCGCTATGAGGTCTTAGAGGGACAAGTCTGGGGCTGTTCGAACTGTCGATTCATCTGGGGAGGTTGCACAGCATGCCGCAAGGCATCCTTTAGGGGTAAGAAGGCCTATGAAGTTTTTCAGGAGCAGCAATCTGAGCTTGCAGAAGCACCAGTCCTAGATGATGGCAGCAGCAAGGCAAAGCGCAAGGTGAAAAAGACCGGCAAAAAGGCCAAAAAGAACGGAAAGACTAGCAAGTGAAAGGCCATGTATGCTACGGACACGCAACCAGGAAACCTAGCTGAGCTGCAGTAATGGTTTTCCATATTTTTCCAGTATAATTATACATCTATGCATGTATTCAAGTTTCTGTTTATGCAATCAGCCATTCAATCCAGCCGACCCCATTCTGTGACCCTTTCCCCTGTCCTCTGAGGATCGCCTGTCCATGCGGCTTCAATCTTTCCAATGATCCTTGTGGAGCGGAACCTGTGCCAGAGATGATGACCGACTTTGGCTTGGTGTTTTGATGACAGGGAAACCCTTGTTCCTCTTTTGGGTTATGTGCAACTGTCTGCCACATGCAGGGTTGGCTATCTAGTGTCTAAGAGATCTGCAACCATGGCCCATTCTATTCTTGTCCGACCAATTTGATTTTGTTTTTGGGGTATCCATCCCGGAATGTGCGCAAAGAAGTTGCTGAGATGAAATCTCCAATAAATACACTAGTTTGGCACGAGTGTGGTCGCATGGGGGTACTTGCTTGTTTAACCACACGCCCTGCCGGAAAGTAGTGGCCGATCCAACTCGAATGGTATGTTGAAAAATGAGAGTGCGGCCATTGCATGGGAAGCACCTCAAAACCCGTTGCTTTATTGCAAGACTGCAAGTAAGTTGTATATAGATACATATTGTATACTGTTACCAAATACACGCACACACACACATATATATATATATAAATACTACTGCAGTATATGGTTACATATATATATAAATATATATATATATACACTATATTATGTGAACATGTGTATGTATATATTATATGCATACGTGCGTGTGTTTCTACAAAAAGCCTATCCCCTTTGGATACTTGTCTCTTCGTGCCAGGTGGTCCATGAGTTCGGCATGGACACTTCGATATGGCGTCCGTCCGAAGAAGAGGAAGAGTCATGGTGCGCACCCGCTGCACACCCCTGCTTTCATGATGTTTTGGTAGGAAGGCATTAAGGTCAAAAAGATCCTTGTAATGTCTTAAAACATGACATGGGGATGGAAGAATTGGACAATCAAAGTGTTACTGCAACGACCAGCTTTCAGTTATGCCACGGGCCGCCGATAGCCACTTTGGACGGGTAGTGTGATTGGTGCCAGTCCCTTTTTTCCGACCATGCCTATGAAAGACAGTGCCCTTCGCCAAGTGCTGCGAAGACTTTTGATCCTTGATGCACCGTTGGCTGCTTGGCTTATTTCTGGGATATGAAAAGAAGTGAGGTTTCAGCATGTACCAGGTACCATACCTTCAAAAAAAACACCCATGGGGACAAACTTAGACTTCAGGTTCTGATGCAAGCCATCGTACTCTTGGTCCATATTGATGGGCTACCGTGGGAACAGGCTCGGTCTCATCACTTCCAATCAAAACAAATTGAAATGAACCAAGTGAACCACTGCAGTTGCAAACTAGTAAACACGATGCCATGACAGGTCTATGATGCTGTGGAAGTTTTTGCTGGTGTTGGTATGCTGAGCCGCTGTCTGCAGCTAGCCAACTTCGAAACCGCATCCCTGGACATAAAGCACTGGGATCCCTTCACCGAACGTCGTTTGTGCAAAAGGTTGAGGAAACCAGCATGCAATGGTAACCCACTGGATCTACTATCTCCCGCTGGCATGGCGTTTCTTGATTCATGTAACTGAGGGATGAAACCCACAGCACAATATGATATAATTGATATACTGTATAACCTTTTTCAGCACGGGATCTAAGGCTGCTTATGGCTGCAATTTTGCAGGGCAAAGATGAGAAGTTGGTGGTGGCTTTTGGGCTCGTATGTTCATCCTTTGTGATGATATCACGTGGCTCAACCCATCGACACTTTTTCCTTCCTGAGGGGGATTTGACTGCACAGTCAGTGAAAGCAGGAAACTGTCTTGCTGCAAGGACCCTTGGTTGTGGCTCCAAACCCTTTGGGCCAATACAAGTGTGTATATTATATATATATATATAATTTATATATATATAGCATATTCAAATCGTACCCAATAATTTCATTGCATATATACGCATGAATATATATATATATATATATATATAGGCCATAGGTGTATACATAGATTCATCCGTGTGTATGCATGTCAGCTGTTTGTCTTGCAGGACATTTCTGCTGATGCAGCTGATTGCTGCCAAAGGTGGTGTTTGGGTTTTGGAACAGCCCTCCTCTTCGATTGTGTTTCGCATGAAGAGGTTCCAAGAACTGCTTGGCAAACAAAGAGTTCCCTAGCTATGGTTAACACGAGTTTGGCGTACTGGCAATCCAAGATTTGAAGAACCATATATGCTGCTTCAATATGACTTCTTAATTTCATGGTTTCACAAACCCAACCCCTAACCTGATGCCTGGCCTGAGGTATTCAAACAGTCGTTTTGGATGAGGGGCTTTGGCAGCAAGACGCCCAAACGAACAACTATATGGTCAAATTCTTCAGCAGTCCGTTTCTTTACAACGAGCAAAAAAGCACGCAAAGTTGTGGGTCGAAAGTTTGCTGATACCTACATGGATTCAAAAGGCCGTAAAAGGTTTAAGGGAAATGGCAACCTTCAAAAATCTCAGTACCATGGTTCACAAATTAATACGTTTTTTTTTGATATGAAACTTACTTGAGGATGTATCATGAGTAATGGGATTGCTAGGGATTTCAATCCATGCCTCCTGACCTCATCTCAGGGAGTACCCGGTTGGCTTTGGAGTTCGATTTGCACAGACCATGAAGAAACTCAGAAAAGAACGGTCTCCTCTTTTACGTCAATGCTATGTCACTTGCCTATTGGATTTGTCGATTTCCAATTTATATTGCATGAACCTGGATTCCTCCAAATTTTTTCCCACCTGGTCTGATGCAGCCTAGGCTCCGCAGCCGGAACACATCCTGGGCATCCACGTGTCACCCATCAAAGGCTTCAATGATTTGTGGGATGATGCCAAAATGGAAGAAGTCATCCGCTACCTAGTGGGATCGTACTCCCTTAACTTGCCAGAATGCTGGCATGGATGCCTTCCCGAATACTGCCTTTAGGCTGAGATTTGGGGACCCCGGGATTCTGAAAATCTACGGTTGGGAAAATCTACGTTTTGAAAAAAATCACCAAAAATAGTACACTGTGGCAGAAACGCAGGAAAGTGGCATAAATACAAAGAAAAGTGGCGTAAAAAACCGTAGGAAACCTACTCCAAAAATAGTACACTTTGAGGGGTCCCCATCAATCGGCTCCGATTCCAAATTTTGGGGTCCAAATTCGTAATATTCCCTGAATTGGGAATCCTGCACAGGGCAGGCTGTTCTCAGCCATACCTTACTCCATATATGGCATTTCTCAGTGCCGCCGGGTTTGGTACTTAGAGTTCGGGGGTTGGGCAAGGAAAATGTGTATGTTTTGATTTTGCATAGCTGGATCTTGACTGAAGCAAAGGTATGCACCATCGTACATCATTTTGACTATTTTTTCTGATTGGGCTCACGTAGGATTGCAAGTGAACTAAGCTTCACTGAGTCATATAGGTCATGTTCCAGCATACGCGCCAATGGTCTTGTGGTACCCTTCTTCGTGGCTCTTCTTTCTTGCAAGAGCAAAGAACCCTGAACAAATCGATGAGCTATGATGACATTGTGGGAGCATCTAGGTTGCACCAATCGACATCAATATGCCTCAAAAAAGCACGTAACCCAGACATCACCCCACTTTCTCAATGAGGCTGCCAGGCGACGTCTTGAAGAGCTGCGGAATCAGACAAATTCCCCGGCCACACCTGCAGCTGCTCAAAGCCCTGTGGCTACACCCCCCACAATTCCTGTTGGCTCACCGCCCGATCAGAAGAAACCCAAGGATCTGTGTTGTATATGAATTCATTTTTGATGAATTATAATCATGAAATTATGGTTGTTCAGTCTGGTACACATGTTGTTTCCAAATCCCTTCGGCCCTGTGGCAGGAGAATAGCTTGACTACACCACGGTGCGCTCAGGCACCAAGTGGTGATTGCTGGGAACTTCTGGAAATGGGTGGTTTACATCAAACATATATATGATATATTTTTAATCGTGGTATTGCATCATATACGGACACCCACGTGCATGAAAGATACATGTGCAAAGATTCCACGCACATGTCAAAAATGAAAAATATTTATTGGTCCCAATGTTTGATATCATACCCTGCCCATGCCATAAAAATCTGAATCATTCCCCATCTTGCACTGGAGGATGGCCATCAACAGTCGCCCTCCATGCCATCGGATGACAAGGCTGGACATCACCGGACTATGTAAATTACTTTTAAATTGTATACAAGCTTGAAGTTACCAAATGACCCCATGAATGCTGACAATGGCTGTTAGGTTATATATGTCAGCTTGATGCATTTTGAAAACTATATAGATCGATCATCTATAAAGGTATATATATATATATATAATGTATGACTGAATGACCCTCAAGTTGATATCACCATAACCCCATTGTCGATCCAGCTTGCTCCCCATTCCCATGGCAGGATGCTGCTGCCAAGAAGCAGGGCGCGATGGATGCGTCATTGCGCCGTATTTGTACTCCGAAACCTGGGTCGGGGCGGCTTGAGGTGTCCATGGAAATTCACCGGCAATGGAAAGCTGGTGGTGCCCAAAGAAAATGCCTCTTAAATATGCTTATCAAAGCCAATGGCAACAAGGACCCAAACTATGATTGAAAGATTTCCTCATGTGGTTTTTTAACTATGCAAATTGTAATTTATCTTCACCTCCCTGAAATTCCCTGAAGGATGAGTTCAAGAAACAAATCGAGCACATGCAGAAGAAGTCCCGGAGATCCAAGATTCATGTTGAAAGAGGTTTTTACTCCAAAGAAACAATGAAGACCAAGCTTGGATGGAAACCGTCAGGGTCCTAGCTGTAAATTCACAATTCTCTTGTTGAAAGCGTGTTGCTGTAGTTAATGTTGGTGTCATGGTTTGAGAACCTCTTTCTTGCCATCAAAAAATCATGGGGCACCTCTAGAAATACATATTGACAGTAGGAATATAGTTTGGCAAGAAAGAGGTTCTCAAACCAAAGTTATACCAAAGTTTTTGTTCAGCTTCCATCAACCCCCAAGGGACCGAATCAAAGCTGCTGTGGCGTATTGCGCCCACCCTTCCAGAGCCAAGACCTATATAAGGCTTGAACCTTTCCAAGCCATTTACATGATATCTAAAATTCTACTCGAGATGCGCATGTATATGATGTTTGGTTATCATCCAATCACCCCAATTTACCTTTAGCCTGGGATGCAGGCGAGACAAATACCAGCAAGACTTGAAGGAGTACTGGGTTGATGTCGAAACAACGGGAAGCTTTGAGGATGAGAATGAGGAATCCTTCACGGAGAAAACTTCGGGGGAAGGGATTGCCGATGGTTTCGACCTGGGGCTGGCACCAATTGAATCCACTGCCCACGATGCAGGTGGGGAGCCTGACGAGGTCACAGACTTGGAGGATGAGGAGGATGATAGTGCATCTTCGAAGGCAAAGCTGAAGGTTCCCTCAAAGAATGATGTTGAACAGGAGCATCATCTTGAGGCGGGGATCTAAATATGATACATTCATACGTCTACTCCCAAACAACTCAAAATAAGTGACATTTATATATTTCATTTGTCATTTGGGAGGCCATTGAAAATGTCGGCAATGTGATGGCCAACATGCTGAAAGTGCAGTCAAAAATGGAAGTGGCCCGAGACAAGTTGGCGGCTCTGGGCACTAAAGAATCTTCGGAGAACCCTTCTAGCACATAGCATGCAGTTCCCAAAAATACCCCTTTGAAGAGCACATGCGATTCTCCAAAATCTGTCCATTCATGTTCCAAATCCCTCCAACTTAAGGAGTCAGCAGAAGGTGGAAACTTTCCGTGGCAATCTGATGAAGCTTCATGATGAGTTGGCCGACCTGAAGTCCTACTTTGATGGCCAAAAGGGAAGCCTTGATGACACGATTCTTTTTTAAAATTAGACATGCCATGTCCCAAATACAACATTGATCAACACACATTATACCACAAAACACGGCAACTATATGTTTTAGATATGCTATAGAAAATCATGTTGTTTAAAGCCCCGGTTCCGCACACGCTGCTTTCAGGAAGGTCGCTTCCCTCCACAGCCTCGTGCAGAAGATCGAAACTGAGCCAAGTCCTGAGCCGAGGGTTGTTGTTCAGTGTGGTCGATGGGATAGGTTTTGGTTTTGTGTATGGGATGGTTCACTTAATTTCACCTATTGAAACATTTTACATGTTCCACCCAGGACGTCCCGGGCCCTCATGGAGGACACGAAGCTGAAAAAGTTGGGCCCTAAATGTCTATCTTACATGCTTATATACGTTGTTTTGATGCATATGTTCCATGCATGCTTGTAGAAGCCTCAACTACAGTCAAACATACCACACTCAGGACTCTTTTGAAGTCAAAGCCAGGAGCAGGTGGTAGCGATCCCCCAGCCCCCAAAGCGAAGGCAAAGTCCAATCCCCGAAAGCGCAAATCTAAGCAGAAGGATGGAGATACCGGTGACACTGGAAAGCCTAAGCCAACAAAGAAAAAGAAACGCACTCAGGCCAGGTTACAGTACTTCTGTTTTTTTTGGGGCCCTTCCTAATCAATCAGAATCAAAACCCTGCACCGTTCCCAGGGATGAATCAAGCTGGCACCCGATCCTTGGACCATTGAAGCACATGTCATTGCAGCGCATTGCAGCCATCGCCATTCCTGGCCAAGTGATTTGAATCGCCCAGCTCAGGATCGATGGACCGAGTGGCCTTTGAGATATGTCAATTTGCTGGCACGTGAAGCTGTAGCCACGTGCGATATGCCAATTCTCAATACTCAACACTTTGCGCTCCAACAAGTATACATATATATATAACTTCATAGTATGATACATATTTAAGGATTTGTTTCCTCCATGTGTTCATGTCAGAAATTTCATAAGTCATGGAGCAGGGCAAGTGTTTTAGCCTCACCTGTAGGCATGCGCATTTCCAGGGGTGATCTTGGGCTGCAATTCAAATTGCTGGCCAACCGCCGATTCCAGAAAATGGGTGAAAATGCAAATCCCGTTTCAAGCTGGCAAATCTATATTATATTTGTAACTTATATATAATATATATAATATATAGATCGGTATAAATCTATAGATATCTATAGATTATATATATATATACACACTGATCAATGTGCTTAGCCTTCAGGGTTGTTGGGCCTAAAGCATTCAAACAGTGATGACAAAATTCATTTTTTTTCCCCTGACCAACCCCTTCGCGCAGGTCCTCCTCCCGTGGGCAAGTTCAAGGGCATCAAGCGCCATGGTCCTGCTGGGAAAGCATTGGCTGCCGCTGTGGCCGGTGGTGTTCCGGGGTTTGGTTCTGTAAAATTTTGGGGTTATATAATGGTTTATAAATGGGAATATTTTTTGTGTAATTACCACACTTGTTGACTTTAACCTGATTTTTTTGGTGGCCATCTAGGTATCAGAAACAGAAGCCTGCTCCATTGCACGAGCTTTTTGGGAGGAGTTTTCACCGCACCTACAGAACCCTGAAAAGATTGCGAGTGCAAACCTCGTACAACTCGCTGCTAGGCTTTCCACAACTGGGCATCAAAATCGGTTTGCCAACAGTTTGTCGGACTATGGCTTATCAGCCCAAATACCTTTGACCTATGTGGATGTCGGCTTGAATGAAAACCATCCTACTCTCTCCATTCGGGATACTGTTTCATGCTATGATGTGTCGGGCAAGTTGGATATCCTATTGCAAGGGAATGGACAGGCTCAATTTCGAAGCTTCTGGTCACAGTGGAAGCAGTTGCATCCACGCCATCCAGTTTTTGATACCCATCGGGGCCGTGAAGGACAATGTGTTCCTATAGCTATTCACTGCGATGAGGGGTGTACATTAAAAAAAAATCTATACTGATTGTCCAGTACCATTCTCTCATGGGGAAAGGTACGAGAAAGAGGAAAAGCACGGAAGAAGAGCCTGGCATCAACATGATTGGCAACTCATATACTACAAGGGTTCTATGGAGCGTGATGCTGGGTCGGGCCTATGGTGGGAAAAGAAAGAACCGTCCATTGCTCAAACTGATTTCCTACTTGTCAAATGAGTTGACAAAAGCGTTCTACGAAGGCATCCCCTTACACCATCACAAGTTGGGAACAATTTATTTGATCCCGCTATGCATGAAGGGAGATTGGCCGGCTTTGACCAAACTTGGCGGCCTAACCCGCCACTTTGGGTGCTTGGTGACTTCAGGGGAGAATGGAAAAGGAATCTGCCATATGTGCAATGCAGATCGCCCAGGATTCCAAAATTGGCATGATCTCTCATATGAAAACATGGAAAAGATGCATGAGGATCCACCCCTGCCATGGAGGGTCGAGCCTTCATTGGTGTCTGCCATACCGTTGCATGATTTGGACAAACCTTACTTCTTCAGAGTCGATGCTTTTCATGCCCTTCACAAGGGTTTCATGGGAGACATTGCAGCAAATGCACTGGTTTCTCGAATGGTTTAGCATGATTTAGCAGAATTTTGCTGTTCATAATGTTATCGGTTTGGACATAGTATAGGAACATTTCTTCTGGTTGAAATCGAAACCTCCACAGGTTTGCTGCTATGATCATGAGTTTTTCGGGGACCTGTCTTTCGAAGACTTCTGTGCTACCTGTTTTTCGGAGTTGAAGGAGTTCTGCGCCAAAGAGTCCAAAACATTGCATATGACCCAGTTGTCCCGACCCCTACTGGGATTTGGCAGGTCCAGTGACTACCCAACAGCGATACTTTTCTGGAATTCAAATATCAACTGTTTTTTGTTATGTTTGCGGGCTTTGGTATTCTTATACAAGGATTACCCACCCATGGTTTCAAAATGTTTCAAAACTCATGTGCCGAGGGGATGGTTCAAGGGGGCTGACACGGTGTGCATCTTGGAGTTCCTGGAGTCACGGATTGGTGGCGATCTGATCGCTATGAGTGAATCTCGCAAGCCCATTTTCCTTGAGATCCATGCTACAATTAGTGCAGCCAATGCATTCATGAGGTGCATGTACAGAGCTGGGCTGTGGCTTTCTCATGAGGAAAGGGATTTCCTGCTGAAGGCTGGAACTAGATGTGTGAATTCTTTCCTCCGATGTGCCCTAAGGGCATTCAATGCTAGTGCCACGCGATGGAAATTCATGCCGAAATTTCATCTTTTTGGCGAATGGTTATTCACCATGGAGAAACAGAAACGCCTTGGGCTACCAAGCCCCAATTTACTGATGTTTTCCTGCCAAATGGACGAGGATTACGTCGGGCGAATTGGTTCTATCTCCCGGACCGTTTCCTTGAGGACTGTACATACACGTACCCTCACCCGCTACCTGATTGCCTTGGTGGCGAATTGGGGGTGAATATGCTATCTAATCTAATCTATTTGTATACCTTCAGGATCCTTGAGGTACTCATGTGTACAAGTGCCCACTATGATGCTCAATGGCCGGCCCCCACTGATCAGATCGGTCCTGCGTCAGTTTCTGCATCTTTGGAGCCGCAGCAGGTTGAAGTAAACAGAACTATCATGTATCTGTTTAACATTATTATTATTTAACTGTTTTTTACACGTTTTATCGATATCTGATTTGTGTGTGATTGTGCACCCATATACATTCAACTGCTGTGGTAGGAAGATATGCTACATCTTTATGCATTTTTGTGATGTGAAGTGCATACCTATGTGCTTGGGCCATGGCGGGAAAAGGCTTGGGAACTCAGTGCACTATTTTACCCCCAAAAACAGCACACAGTGGCGTAGTTGGCACTTTTTATAGTACACCTGGTTTTCTAGGTATTTTGAATTTTTTGAAATTCAAAAAATTCAAAATATTCAAAAAATAATGAAATCACCAAAAAAGAGGTTCAGAGAGACTTTTGGGAGAAGTTCGGAGGTGTGGTTCCCTTTCGGAGAATTTTATTACTTTTTTGAAGACCCCCAAAATCATCAATACCAAACAATATATCCACCCAAAAAAGCCACCAATATTCGACTATGTGGCAAAATCGGGAAACAAACTGGAGACAATGAAAGTCCTGTGTCCCAAAAGCTCCCAGAGAGAACAACGGTAATGAGGAGAGAAGTGAAGAAGGCACTGGGAAAGACTAGAGGAACAAGCAAGGAAAGAAAGGGAAGAGTAGAAAAGTCGCACATGCTGGAGACCTGGAAAGAAGCACGGTAGTGGAGAGAGGATATATAAGGAGACCACTTGGAGACAAGTAGGAAGGCAAGTAGGGAAACATGTAGTAGAGACCGAGGGTAAGGGAATGTAGCGGATAATAGGTTTCGTCCCAAAGCACGCAGAGACAAGCAGCAATTAATAGACAAGTAAAAAGGCCTGAGCAAAGGAAGAAAAGTAGAGAGAAACACAGGAGGCCAGAAAGGAGCCTGAGAGAAGAATGGCAATGGGAAGGGAATTAAGGATACAACTTGGAGAGAACAAGGGAGACAAGTACGGAAACAGATGGGAGACGAAGAGAATCATGTGTCCAAATAAGCACCTACTCGTAGAGAGAAGAACAGCAGAGAGAGAGAGAGAGAGGGAGAGAGAAGTAAGGGCATGAGTTGGAGAGAACAAGGGGGACAAGCACGGAGACAGACAGAGGACAAGGAGCATACTGTGCCCCGGAAGCACCCAGAGAGAACAGCCACATGTGAGAGTGAAGTAGAGAGACGAATACGAAAACAGATGGGACTTGAGTCCTGTCCCCAAAGCCACCAGAACGAAGAACACTGAGCAATGGAGAGAGAAGTGAGGAACGGGAGACAAGGAGATTCCTTTGACCGAAAGCACCCAGAGAGAAGAATCGCAATGGAGATAGAGAAGTAAGGAGACAAGTTGGGAACAGACAAGGAGACAAGTATGGAAACAAATGGGAGGCAAGAAGAATCCTTTGCCATCGAGCACCACGAAGAGTATCCTGTGCCCAGAAGCACAGTAACAGGGAGGGACAAAAAGGAAAGTCCTAAAGCCTAGACAAAACAGCAAGTAGGAAAAAATTGGCTGAATAAGGACACAGATGGGAACACATGGGAGACAAGGGGAATCTTGGGTCCCAAAAGCGAGAACAACAGGAATGAGGAGAGAAGTGAAGAAACCGCTGGGAAAGACCACAGGGACAAGGAAGGAAAGAAAGGAAAGAGGAGAAAAACTATCCTCTCCCTCCCAAATGCTGGAGACCTGGAAAGAAGCACGGTAGTGGAGAGAGAATACGGAGACAAATTGGAGACAAGTAGGAAGGTAAGTAGGGTAACATGTGGTAGAGACCGAGGGTAAGGGAATGTGACCTGAACAAAGGAAAAAAGGCAGGGAGAAACACAAGAGGCCAGGAAATCCGTTCTTTCCAAAGCAGCAGCAGCAATGAGGAGGGAATAAAGGATACACGTTGGAGGGAACAAGGGAGGACAAGGGAGGACAAGTGAGGAACCAGAGAGAATCATGTGTCCAAATAAGCACCTAGAGAGAAGAACAGCAAGAGAGAGAGAGAGGGAGAAAGAGGGAGAGAGAGAGAAGTAAGGGTACGAGTTGGAGAGAACAAGGGGGACAAGCACGGAGACAGACAGAGGACAAGGAGCATACTGTGCCCCGGAAGCACCCAGAGAGAACAGCCATTTGTGAGAGTGAAGTAGAGAGACGAGTACGAAAACAGATGGGACTTGAGTCCTGTCCCCAAAGCCACCAGAACGAAGAACACTGAGCAATGGAGAGAGAAGTGAGGAACGGGAGACAAGGAGATTCCTTTGACCGAAAGCACCCAGAGAGAAGAATCGCAATGGAGATAGAGAAATAAGGAGACAAGTTGGGAACAGACAAGGAGACAAGATATATGGAAACAAATGGGAGGCAAGAAGAATCCTTCGCCATCGAGCAACCACGAAGAGTCACGAAGAGTATCCTGTGCCCAGAAGCACCCAGGAAGAAGAACAGTAACAGGGAGGGACAAAAAGAAATGAAGAGAGGAGACTGCAATTATGGCCCCAAAGCACCTGAAGGTCCTAAAGCCTAGACCACACAGCAAGTAGGAAAAAACTGGCTGAATAAGGACACAGATGGGAACACATGGGGGACAAGGGGAATCTTGGGTCCCAAAAGCGAGAACAACAGGAATGAGGAGAGAAGTGAAGAAAGCGCTGGGAAAGACTACAGGGACAAGGAAGGAAAGAAAGGAAAGAGGAGAAAAACTATCCTCTCCCTCCCAAATGCCGGAGACCTGGAAAGAAGCGCGGTAGTGGAGAGAGAATAAGGAGACAAGTTGGAGACAAGTAGGAAGGTAAGTAGGGTAACATGTGGTAGAGACCGAGGGTAAGGGAATGTGACCTGAACAAAGGAAGAAAAGTTAAGGAGAAACACAAGAGGCCAGGAAATCCATTCTTCTCCAAGCAGCAGCAGCAGCAATGAGGAGGGAATTAAGGATACACGTTGGAGGGAACAAGAAAGGGCAAGTGAGGAACCAGAGAGAATCATGTGTCCAAATAAGCACCTAGAGAGAAGAACAGCAAGAGAGAGAGAGAGAAGTAAGGGCACGAGTTGGAGAGAACAAGGGGGACAAGCACGGAGACAGACAGAGGACAAGGAGCATACTGTGCCCCGGAAGCACCCAGAGAGAACAGCCACATGTGAGAGTGAAGTAGAGAGACGAGTACGAAAACAGATGGGACTTGAGTCCTGTCCCCAAAGCCACCAGAACGAAGAACACTGAGCAATGGAGAGAGAAGTGAGGAACGGGAGACAAGGAGATTCCTTTGACCGAAAGCACCCAGAGAGAAGAATCGCAATGGAGATAGAGAAGTAAGGAGACAAGTTGGGAACAGACAAGGAGACAAGTATGGAAACAAATGGGAGGCAAGAAGAATCCTTTGCCATCGAGCACCACGAAGAGTATCCTGTGCCCAGAAGCACCCAGGAAGAAGAACAGTAACAGGGAGGGACAAAAAGAAATGAAAAGGTCCTAAAGCCTAGACAAAACAGCAAGTAGGAAAAAATTGGCTGAATAAGGACACAGATGGGAACACATTGGAGACAAGGGGAATCTTGGGTCCCAAAAGCGAGAACAACAGGAATGAGGAAAGAAGTGAAGAAAGCGCTGGGAAAGACCACAGGGACAAGGAAGGAAAGAAAGGAAAGAGGAGAAAAACTATCCTCTCCCTCCCAAATGCTGGAGACCTGGAAAGAAGCACGGTAGTGGAGAGAGAATACGGAGACAAGTTGGAGACACGTAGGAAGGTAAGTAGGGTAACATGTGGTAGAGACCGAGGGTAAGGGAATGTGACCTGAACAAAGGAAGAAAAGTTAAGGAGAAACACAAGAGGCCAGGAAATCCGTTCTTTCCCAAGCAGCCGCAGCAATGAGGAGGGAATTAAGGATACACGTTGGAGGGAACAAGGGAGGACAAGGGAGGACAAGTTAGGAACCAGAGAGAATCATGTGTCCAAATAAGCACCTAGAGAGAAGAACAGCAGAGAGAGAGAGAGAGAGAGAGAGAAGTAAGGGCACGAGTTGGAGAGAACAAGGGGGACAAGCACGGAGACAGACAGAGGACAAGGAGCATACTGTGCCCCGGAAGCACCCAGAGAGAACAGCCACATGTGAGAGTGAAGTAGAGAGACGAGTACGAAAACAGATGGGACTTGAGTCCTGTCCCCAAAGCCACCAGAACGAAGAACACTGAGCAATGGAGAGAGAAGTGAGGAACGGGAGACAAGGAGATTCCTTTGACCGAAAGCACCCAGAGAGAAGAATCGCAATGGAGATAGAGAAGTAAGGAGACAAGTTGGGAACAGACAAGGAGACAAGTATGGAAACAAATGGGAGGCAAGAAGAATCCTTTGCCATCGAGCACCACGAAGAGTATCCTGTGCCCAGAAGCACCCAGGAAGAAGAACAGTAACAGGGAGGGACAAAAAGAAATGAAGAGAGGAGACTGCAAGAAGGCGGTGACGGAAGGGACACAAATGAGGGACTCGGTAATGTTTATGGCCCCCAAAACCACCTGAAGGTCCTAAAGCCTAGACCACACAGCAAGTAGGAAAAAATTGGCTGAATAAGGACACAGATGGGAACACATGGGAGACAAGGGGAATCTTGGGTCCCAAAAGCGAGAACAACAGGAATGAGGAGAGAAGTGAAGAAAGCGCTGGGAAAGACCACAGGGACAAGGAAGGAAAGAAAGGAAAGAGGAGAAAAACTATCCTCTCCCTCCCAAATGCCGGAGACCTGGAAAGAAGCACGGTAGTGGAGAGAGAATACGGAGACAAGTTGGAGACAAGTAGGAAGGTAAGTAGGGTAACATGTGGTAGAGACCGAGGGTAAGGGAATGTGACCTGAACAAAGGAAGAAAAGTTAAGGAGAGACACAAGAGGCCAGGAAATCCGTTCTTTCCCAAGCAGCCGCAGCAATGAGGAGGGAATTAAGGATACACGTTGGAGGGAACAAGGGAGGACAAGGGAGGACAAGTTAGGAACCAGAGAGAATCATGTGTCCAAATAAGCACCTAGAGAGAAGAACAGCAAGAGAGAGAGAGAGAAAGAGAGAGAGAGAGAGAGAAGTAAGGGCACGAGTTGGAGAGAACAAGGGGGACAAGCACGGAGACAGACAGAGGACAAGGAGCATACTGTGCCCCGGAAGCACCCAGAGAGAACAGCCACATGTGAGAGTGAAGTAGAGAGACGAATACGAAAACAGATGGGACTTGAGTCCTGTCCCCAAAGCCACCAGAACGAAGAACACTGAGCAATGGAGAGAGAAGTGAGGAACGGGAGACAAGGAGATTCCTTTGACCGAAAGCACCCATAGAGAAGAATCGCAATGGGGATAGAGAAGTAAGGAGACAAGTTGGGAACAGACAAGGAGACAAGTATGGAAACAAATGGGAGGCAAGAAGAATCCTTTGCCATCGAGCACCACGAAGAGTATCCTGTGCCCAGAAGCACCCAGGAAGAAGAACAGTAACAGGGAGGGACAAAAAGAAATGAAGAGGTCCTAAAGCCTAGACAAAACAGCAAGTAGGAAAAAAATGGCTAAATAAGGACACAGATGGGAACACATGGGAGACAAGGGGAATCTTGGGTCCCAAAAGCGAGAACAACAGGAATGAGGAGAGAAGTGAAGAAAGCGCTGGGAAAGACTACAGGGACAAGGAAGGAAAGAAAGGAAAGAGGAGAAAAACTCTCCTCTCCGTCCCAAATGCCGGAGACCTGGAAAGAAGCACGGTAGTGGAGAGAGGATAAGGAGACAAGTTGGAGACAAGTAGGAAGGTAAGTAGGGTAACACGTGGTAGAGACTGAGGGTAAGGGAATGTGACCTGAACAAAGGAAAAAAGGCAGGGAGAAACACAAGAGGCCAGGAAATCCATTCTTCCCCCAGCAGCAGCAATGGGGAGGGGATTAAGGATACACGTTGGAGGGAACAAGAAAGGGCAAGTGAGGAACCGGAGAGAATCATGTGTCCAAATAAGCACCTAGAGAGAAGAACAGCAGAGAGAGAGAGAGAGAAGTAAGGGCATGAGTTGGAGAGAACAAGGGGGACAAGCACGGAGACAGACAGAGGACAAGGAGCATACTGTGCCCCGGAAGCACCCAGAGAGAACAGCCACATATGAGAGTGAAGTAGAGAGACGAGTACGAAAACAGATGGGACTTGAGTCCTGTCCCCAAACCACCAGAACGAAGAACACTGAGCAATGGAGAGAGAAGTGAGGAACGGGAGACAAGGAGATTCCTTTGACCGAAAGCATTCAGAGAGAAGAATCGCAATGGAGATAGAGAAATAAGGAGACAAGTTGGGAACAGACAAGGAGACAAGTATGGAAACAAATGGGATCAGAAAGGAGGACGGTCGCATTATACCAAAAGGTCCCTGCCACATATATATATATATATATATCATACAATTATACATGCAGAAAATGTGTGTGTGTGGGCACATTGTCGCCCTCACTGATCCAGGGATGGCCCCTCCCTGAAACTGGGATGAATCCAATTAGATTGTTGCTGGTCACTTGGTTCACAAGCCAATTCTTTGTTGCTATCCCCATCAATTTTGATCCTCCGTTCATGTATAAAATGAGTGACGGTACTAGACATTACACTGAATTCATGTAACTTCATTTTTCACGAGTAAAATTGACGGTCTAAGTATCCAAAAACTCTTTAGCATATCTATAGCCCCCTCCAGAGCCTGGGGTTCCAGGTTGAAGGGACAAGGATTTGAACTTCGGCCCCTTTTCAGCTTTGAGGAGTGCCGAAGCGAGCCCCTGGTCGGCAAAGTTGGGAGAGCTTTTGGGGAATTTGTCAGGGTCCAACCCTTTGGGTTATGTTCCATTGATTATAGGCTTGGATTTTTGGGAAAGCCCCGTGAAGCACCAGGTTTCTCCTCCGCGAATCCAAGCTGCTGCCCCGCGAAGCCACCAATCCCAGCGCAGCCCGACGGCGGGTGCCAAAGCGGCCTTGCGGCGTGGCAGCAACGGGAAGCGCGGCTCACTCTGCAGGAAATGATGGGTAGAAAGTGGTTGGAAATGGTGTAACTCTCCCAAAATGGCTGAACTTGTTCGGTTGAATTATGATGAAATATATGAAAATTAGGAAAACCCGAGCGCCAGGTGAAGAGTCCACACAGTCGAGTCAGTTGGTTCCTTTGGATTTGGTTTGAGGCAGGGATCAAAGGGGAATAACGGGGCCTAGAATTGGAGTGTGGCATGCCATACTTGCAAGGTATTCTGTTAGCAAAATCAGTTTGTATGACACTATCACCCCAAAAAATGGAGATGACCCTGGCAATGGGGTTTTCGAAGCTCTTCAGAAAAGCAGTCAAAGGGGTGCCTTCAATTTTCTTCTGACTCAACGTGTGATGCAGTGGCAGGTGTGGCGAACAACCTGAGAATCAAGATCTCATCGCCAGATGCGGGATGATGCTGGTGCAAGTTGCTTCCCTGGTGCGTATTGCCAGGAAACGTTTCCTGAATCCTCTGCAAGTTGCAACAACAAAGATTGTCAGTCAAAGCCTTTGTTCCAAGGATTTTTGTTGAATATCAACTGCCGGGTAAGCCTTGGTTGGTTGGGCAATCAGTATTTATCAATGTTTAGTTTTTTGTTGGCGCTTTGAATTGAAGCATCCACTAGTAGTATCAGCCCAAAAAATACATATATAGTTTCTTGGTTTTTGTTGGCGCTTTGAATTGAAGCATCCACTACTAATAGTATCAGCCCAAACAAAAGTAGTTTCTTGATTTTCTGTTGGCGCTTTGAATTGAAGCATCCACCACTAGCACAAGTCCAAAAAACATTAATAGTTTCATGTTTTTTTTCTTCTGGTGCTTTGAATTGAAGCATTCCACTACTAGTATCAGCCGAAACATATATAAATACTTTCTTGATTTTGTTTGGTGCAGGGTATCCAGGGCCATGAGAAGATCGCAGGGCTTTAAACGTTTCCTCGGCAAAGCCCAACAGGGAGTGCAGGCCAATTCAGTCGCAGGCGCGTTCATCGCCATGCGACGCTTGCATGGCACTGGAGGCCACTGCAGTGTACCATTACATGGGTAGATGGGTCAAAATAATCCAAATGTGTGAAGATGTGAAGGCCTGGGAGAGATCGGGAGACCAGATTTGTTTGGAAGTGAGCCATGGCATGTTTCGAAATGGCTGAATGTGCCGAATGTGGGATATTGACATATTGATGGAGTTTGACCTACCCATATTCCAACGGCAGCAGTGTCAGATGCCTGGCACACAGCTGACCTGAAAGGCCCCTGGCATTGCGATGGTTGGGGCGCGCAAAATCCGAGTCCACCTTCGAAAGATTTAATGAGATTCAGTGGGAGTTATATGAATGGGTTTTAACAGGATTTATGTAATCGGATTTAAGGGAAGATAATGCTATACTACCGGTTTTTAAGGATATGTTAGTTTGACATATTTTGATTTAATGGTGCATGTTATTGTATTCAATCTGGGTGTGTCTGCAAATGGGGGGGATTTACCACAATTTATGGCAAATGAAATGGAACAATGATGATCAACCATTGCATTGCAGTACCGTTATTTTCAGTCGAAACCAGTCAACGTATCACATAGGTGCAGAACACGTAGATTCAGAGGGCGCCGTCCCCTCGTGTTTGGCCAGCAGGCCAACACTAAGTTCAGGGTTTATACAACCATATGGGGGTTTCCATAAATGGAGGTACCCCAATAGCTAGGGGTAATGGAAAATCCGAAAACTAAAATGGATGATTTAGGGGTACCACCATTTAAGGAAACCGCCATATGCAGAGGGAGCATTGGAAGTTTCCTAGTTTCTGCTAAGTCAGTGCGTTTGATCATTTTGCCCTGAGTTTCTTCAATTTTTCGAAGAAGCAGCTTCCCAACCGGGTCGCAATTCTGTTTTTGCCATGGAGCGGAAGCCAGATATGGCAGATGGTTTCAGGATGAAAGCTTGAGGTGAACATTGAAAGTCATCAAGGTCTTTGACGTTTCCATCACTTTGGCAGGGAAGGTCGGCTAATGGAGCTCAGTATGCTCAGTGCTTTCCATCCCTACATGCGATTATGATAGGCCATGATGATGACCAATCTGCTCATATTTCTGGAATATATTCAACCCGCCAACCTGGAACATTTGGATGACTTTCTGCGCTATTTGACTTTTCAACTAAGGTATATATATATATATGACATCTACTGTAGAATTATGGGTGACTATCTCGCAGCAATATGTTTTCATACCATCAGTATCATCACTTATGAAAAGCAGATCCTGGAGCAGAGCAATGTCTCTCCGCTGTGTCAGTTTTGTAAGGCTGACGTGTCCAGCATGTGTTGGCTCAACATTCGATGGGCTGGAGTCCAAGGGCCTGGACTCCTGGACGTATAGAGAAATGGCTGCAAAATTCTTGAACTAAATGATTAAATGGAGGTTTAGAGTTGGGAGAACCTGGGAGAACCACCAACCAGCAAGCTGGAGGATATTCAGCCAGAGGGTACCAAAAATACTTCAGTTTCGCTAAATCTCAGGAGAGAAAGCCCCTGAGTTTCGCATAGTTTTGAGCCAAGCGGCCTTGCGGCCATGCTGACGTTCGTGGCCACGTTGGGATTCTCCTGGAAGGCAAAGCTTATGAATGACTTGTGAGTTTTTAAGTGTACTCTGATAACCCAGATCTTCTCCGTGATGTACGTATGTACATGATATATCATGACAAACACACCCATACACATGTATATGTATAGGTATATCTATATCTATCTATCTATATATATGTATATGTATATGTACATATATATACATACATACCATACCGTACCATACCATAGCATACCATACCATGCCATACATATATATATATATCATTATACATCTGTATGTCTGTATGTGTGTGACATATACTGGTGACATACCCACTTACAGACCATGAATTAAATTTAGGAATCATCCCAGTGGCTGCTATGGGGTTTGCCAACCAAAGGCTGGGTTTGCCATAACACTCCCAGCACTGGTGGCTCTGGGGTTCAACACCTCTGGCGCGGCGTTGGGCAAAAGGTTGGGATGGTTATCTTCTTTTAAGCACCAACAAATTTGAATTAAAAGCAAATTTGTAATTTGTGCGGACCCCTTGGGCATTCCCCTTGAAATGAAAAAAGCTTGTGTCTGAAAGGATTCCGTTCATGTGGGGTGTTGGAGGGACTTGTGGCATGCTTCATCTTAGAACATTGGATTGTTCAACACCAAAGGTGTAGTCTGTAGATTCTGATTGCATTAAACCCAGAGGCTATGTACGTAAATCACGTCAGAGTCGTAAGGGGGATCACTTCCTGATTTCATGTCTACATAAGTTAGTACCGTTTCAGTCTACATACCTGCACTTAATGTACCTAAGATGGGCTAACTTAGAATATGCAAAGAGATGGCCCGGTTTGCGGTTTCATGTCTATCATCCAATTGGTTTCCTCTATTTGTTGGTACCCCCGGAGCCTTTCCGGCTCGAATTCAGCCATGGGGTGACACACCCAAGGCACGGCCTCACTGCTCCGCATGGAATGATGGTTAGGACCGTTAGGATTCGGGGAATTCTCCGTTGATGGAATAGCTAGAACAGCCAATCCATGGAATAGCTAGAAACAAACCAGCAGAAGTTCGCAAACAGGATTTTGACATTGCTCACCGGGTGTCAGGAATTGGATGAAGCGAAAATGTAGAATCCACCTGGAAAAAGCGCGTCAAAACTCCGATTGTTTCACTGAAATCTGATGGCTGGTTGCTTCAACCATGTGAGCTATGTCTGAAAATAGGGAACCCCAGCATTCCAGTGGTTGATCGCAATCTTCTTGAAATGTCCGCAAAGTCCGGTACCCCCGAGTCTTGGATGTTCAAACAAAAATCCCTAAATCAACAAAAAATGACTGGTTTGTTCAAGATTCTTGGTCGGTAGGTCCGCCGATTATCCAGTAAATCCATATAAATCCCTAATCCGCATTATTCTGGATATTCACAAAATTCTCCGTATTAGGGATTTATTGGAAAATCGGGTCACAATTTCCCCATTTATATATACATATTCCCCGTAGATTCCGAATATTCACAAAGTTTTATTGCCAACCATTCCTGCAGGATGGTGCCCCATAGTTACATAATGGTGCCGCCCGGAGGTTTATCATGTCACCACCTCTAGGGTTTGTTTAGGGTTTATCTAGCGGGTTTCATTCAGGGTTTAAGGTTGTTGTTTTTTAAAACCACGGTTTTAATAAGATTTTGCTTTCAAGGCATAGGGCTTAATGTCAGATTTAGGTTTTAATCTTTATTGGATTTAGGGTTTGGAATTTTGTGTTTTGGAAACGAGTTTCGTCAGCCATTCTGCCACCTTCCCGGGCAGCACCCCAGTCCTGGCCGTATAGTTACTATAGTTGGCTATGTTGGTTTATATATATATATATAGTATCAAAATGTATCCAATATTCTATAGATAGTTTCTTTAGATAATATATTAATATACAAGGGTTGATAGATACAACTTCTTATATAATTATATAACAGGTTTGTAAAACCAAATTACTAGGGCGCACCACTTGAGATTTCCCACAGGTGGTCGCCCCGGCGACCGGCGCGGTTTTTCGCGCATGGCGCGGCGCAGCATGACGCAGAGCGGCTTGGGCGCCTTGGGGCCGGATCTGCAGCAACTCAGGCGGGAAGAAGAAATCTGTTGCCATTAAAGATACCCTCTGGTAATTTAACATGGCTATTGAAAATGACCATTTATAGTAGATTTTCGCATTAAAAATGGTGATTTTCCATAGCTATGTTAAATTACCAGAGGGTAAAGGAGGTTTCCTACAATGAGTGTGCCCCAAGCTCGCTGGATGGTTTATTTCATGGAAAATCCGAACATAAAATGGATGATTTGGGGGTAGCCCCATCTTAGGAAACATCCATGAGGCAAACTAACATAGTTATGGAAGTCATGGCCAATTTAGTTCGATGATTTTCCCATTAAACATATTTAAACATGGTATACATGGTGACTTTCCATAGTTACATTGGTAAGCAGTGGAGGGTAGATGATGCTAGGATTTCCGCTGGAGCACTGCGCTTCGGTCAGATATGAAATGTGGATACTAGAAAGAAAGAAAATGATAAACAACATATTTCCAGAAAAAACAATGA